CTACAAATAGAGATACTAATAAACTATTAATTTAATAAGAAAAAAGTAAAGCTAACTCAGTTTTAGGCCACAGTGGCAGAAGGATAGATTCCAAAAAGAGGTGAAATTCTTGCTCTAATCAACAGAGGTTTGGCTACCTATTCTACGTTTAATTCTGGGTGCCATATTTTTAAAAGCATGTTAAAAAGATCCTGTTCAGGCCAGAGTAACCAGGATGGAAAAATCATTAAAAAGATTGGGGATGATGAACCTAGAGTAGAAAAAAGTTAGACAAGACATAATAATCTGTCTTCAAAGTCAGAAGAGCTGTCATACACAGAAGAGATTCAGACTTACTAGTGTGGTGTTATAGGGCAAAATCAGTATGACTGGAGGCAGATAATGAAGGGAAATTTATGTCATTAAGAGGGAGAACTTTGTAACCATTTGAGCCAAGCCAAACCAAAGAATGGGTTGTTTGGGGAGACCTTGAATTATCTAACCACTTAATAGGCATATTCCTGAGGAGTGTCATGAATTTAGGGAGGTGTTAACTAGATCAATGCTTCATTTAATCGCATGTGAATCAACATGGACTCATCAGAAAAGCTACCAATTAAGAATAGTAGTCTGGGGTAAGGGCTGAGAGACCTGAATTTCTAACAAGCTCCAAAGTGATGCCTATCATGTGGTATGTGGACCACACTTTGAGAAGCAAAGAACCAGATAATTAGTAAGGTCATTTTTCAATACTAAGAGTCTGTAATTTTTACAGAAAAAAATACACCTCAAGAACAGAGAAAGCAGTTATATACTGTGTTTTCCAAATGAAAATGGCAGCGTTTGAGAGCACAGAGGAAGCAGGCGCACTGCGTGGAAACAGAAGCAGCCATATTCCAGAACTTACTCAGTAAATGAATATTTTAAAAGAACCTGTTCTGAAGAAAGAAAAATTGTTAATACATACTTGTATATGTATTACATTTAATTATCCACTTTCAGTAAAAGTGACCAATCATGTTCAATAATTGGAATGAATAGCACTTATTTCTTCAATTTCAATAATTCAATTCTATTTTAAATTCAAGACTTTAAGTGTTTGTCTAGTTCATTCAGCAAAAGTCCTTCATAACTATGCACACACTCCAGAGCCTTTCAGTGCACAGGCTTTGCTTTGTCACTCTCTTAACTCCCTTTCTATAGATTAGAGCTTCCCAACTGGTAGAATCATAGATGGCCCTCAAGATACTTGGTCCTCTCATTCTTTTGGAAGGCCAAGCAAATAGCTTGATGCTGGGCTCCTGGGAAGAGCCCCAGCCAGATTGGCAACTAGCCAATCATGATTAGTGAGTAATACCTAGCACTCATTGGTCTGGCCTTGAGGTAGTGAGCTCAACCAAGTGTCTATCATCTTGATATCTAAATCAGCAACTTGCTGTGAGCATTTTCCTTTTCATCATAGGAGAAGGATCTATGGATCTGATGAAGAAGTTCATGTCCTAAGTGCTTAATTAGCATAGCATGCCCACCAAAATTAGGCCATGGAAGGATAGAAAATGGGAAAGAAAGAGGCTTTTGGCAGGTGTATCTTTACATGATGACCCCAGTATCATTCTTCTCATACAGTGAATACTTTTATCTATTTGTGGCAAAGTAGGTGCATAGTAACATCTCTAAAAGGCATGTGTATTTTTCAATTTAGAATTTCAACATGATTTTTATAATACTTGACATATAAAAATGTAGGTAAATTCTAAACCTATAGCCTCCTTTTATGAAATTCCAATGGTAAATTTGGTGAGGAACTAAAAGGAAGAGTTGCAATATTTAAAATCAAAAGTCACAAATTTTTTAATGGTTGTAAAAGTTGTTTCAAAATTTTTATCCTCTGTTCAAATAAAATTTTTCATTGATAGAGCTATCAAGAATTTGAAAAGACTAAAATTAAAATGTTTTGCTTAGATATACTTCCATAGATAAAACCTGAGATAAAAAGTTATATTAATGGAAGTATATTCATAATTCTCAATTTAATGTTACCTATATTTAATTTTAACATATTGCCCCAAATATTGTATTATATTTTCTTGTCAAAATTGTATCATATAAAGAAAATGTAATGAATCTCTTTACCATATCCCATATAGATATTCCCAAATTTCTTCCAGTTTACCCCAGTGTGTCATACAAAAATAACAATAGGTAGATTTTCATCTATAATATGTTCTATTACCAAATACCTTCTAGTATAATTACATACTAATTACATACTTATCTTAGTATATAGTTACTGTTACCCAAAGGAAACAGGGAAGTCTACATAGTAACGAGAAAATGTTAAACCTAAAATATTTTCTCACTCCTTCTCCCATGCCTCTGGAAAATACTGCAATATTCTGGAGGGCTGGCAACACTCCTTTTCTTGACTTGAATGGTTATACAGTGTTCACTTTGTGATAAATCATTGAGGACGTGGTTTTGTGCACTTTAATGTACATCTTTTATTTCATAGTAACAAAGGTTTAAATTTTTTATTTTCTAAGACTACAGAGATATTGTGATCTATAGATCTCTGAATATATTCTTACTTCCTGTTCATAGTACCCTTGCTTTGTTTACTCTCCAAGAAAACTTAATAAATGATTAACTGTATTACTGGGCAGTTGGGAGCAGTTATGAAAGGAGGGACACTCACTTGATAATTTAGAATAGAAACACAGTTCTCTGTTTCTGAATTAGCCTGTTTTCTATATAAGTTAATCAGATGAATCAAATGCTATCAAAGCTGACTTAAGGGTGATACTGGCTCTTCAAATTCATGTTATAAAATACAACACTGTTGGGCCTGGAAGTTATTACTATGACCCTAATATAGCAGGATAGGGGTAGCCCTTGATATAACAAATTAAGATGGATTTTACATCTATTTGCACCCCTAGCTCTGGCAAATATTCATTTCTTCTGCATCCCCAAAATCGTGGCAAGTAAGATTCTTCGGATAAAATGAAGGCAATTTCAGAATAAATTACCAATATACATATTGTTTGGATGGGAATATTATCTTTTTACTGTGATAATTTAGTTTGCCTTATTAAATATACTTTGTTTATATTTATATATAAATATATATCAACCAAATGTTAATCCAGGTATATGGTTAATGAGACACTGCTAACATTCATTGCTAACATTCTGTCAAACTGATTTACTTGAACAATATAAGAAAGGGCAAACACATTCCTGCCCTAACCGTATCTACCATTATTAAACATTTGCCACCAGTTCTTTTGCTTTGTGAACACACAGTTAACATCTATCTGCTGTGAAAATGAAACACCCTACGAGCCTGAGGCCATAACTCAGGCTGAAGCACAAAAGGAAAAGAAGACAGCTCAACCAGCTGTCAACACTTACACATGTGAATTTTCAGAGCCAACAGAAGAACAACCAATCTGAGCCCATTCTACAGCATCTCATGTGAGAGTTACTCATAGACTTAACTGCATCACATGGCTTATTAATGTCAGCTTTTGTTTTTGTTAAGAAGCTTTATGTTTAAAGAAATTATCAGTCTACTTCACATTACTGCAAACATGGAGGCAAATGAAGAATTGACACAATTTAGCCTCATCCTGCACCAAACCTCCGTCTCATTTGCTTCCTGTAAAGAGTTACCTCTTGCTTCCTTTTTCCACAAGCTCATGCTTTGTTCCCACTCATATCCCTGTTTTTTCTTTTCTAGAATAGGCTGCGCCCCCCGGCGGTTGGGAGCTTTAGAAAAAAACAAAAACAAATCTTTCACAGGCAAGACATTTAATTCCCTACAATTTTGCTTTTGGGCTGAGTCCATCGCGTTCCCGCGAGCTCAGTCTCAAGTAGTTACGATTATAACCTAACCATACTTCTCCCCTGCGGTCAATTTCCCTATTTAAAAGAGGGTAAAAGGGTAAAGACACCAGTCAAAATAGAAATAGTTTGGTTCTGGCCAGCTGCAGAGGGGCGGCAGTCCTTGTAGCTCGGAAGGGCAGCTCCAGCGTATGACGCTGTCCATACCTCGGTGCTGAATACTACACACGCTGTCATTTCCCGCCAGGTTTAACCAACCCCTCAGGATCAGAATAGGATCAGTCACAGCACGCTAAACCCCTTTCTCTTTTCTGGGACTGGGGCGGGGGGAGTGGGGAGAAGATAATTTAGACGTCTGCTGATTCTCTTACCATGGGAAAATATTCTTCTACAAAAATAAATTGTGCATTTTATGGGAAAATAATGGCATACCTTCAGCTCCTCACCAAAGTGAAGTGCTCTACTGAAGAAAGAATTGAAAGTTCAGAATAAATGAAACCTGCTCTTTCTTTCCCTGAGTCAACACAACAGCATTTGAGGTACCTACACTCCCTGATGATAAAGCAAATAATTTTGTTTTTTAAAAATCATATAAATAAAAAAATGAAAAGTAAGTCACGTGATTAATCTTTTTTTCTGATAAGTACAATAAAGGGATGACAGTGGGATAGAATCTGGGATAGAATTCTACATATTGTTTTACTGAGACTGAGAAACAGAAAAGAGAAGGAAGTAAACTTGTTAACAAAGGTGATTTAAATGGTCTAAAATGAATTTTTAGAAGTATTGCTTTAACATCGTCTTCCAGATGTGTTCACTTCCCCAAGAAATTTAGATCAAAATCTGGGCAACAGAAGCTTCCCTTCTTCCCTCTGCCCTCCTAGCCTCTGTCCAATTTGAAAGACTTAAAAAATTAAAACCCTGTTCTTCATTGCAGGTGTTGATATCCACAGGGGTCGTTATAAGATTGGTCTCCCTCCCTCTACACATGAGACAATGAAGTAAAGATAAAGAAAACGGACAGAAGGGAAGGAAAGTGTGTTGCACTCCCAATCTTTGATTCTTGGTAGTTACATTCAAATGGGGCACTTCTCTTTGAAAAGTGAAGATGTTTCCCACGGCTACAGAATTTACAGTCAGACAGGGAGCTGACTTAACCGATCCCAGCAAACGTTTCCTTCCTTTTCTTAATCCCTCGCTGCTTATTTTAGCCGCTTCTCTACCCCGCCGGGAATACCATCCAGATCTTAGTCCAGGTAGATCTGACGTCAAGAGATGGCTTTCGTCGATTTGACGTGTAAACACTCATTTCCATTCCGACTCGGAAGGGCTGGGGCTCCACTCAGCCGGGAGACCGAAGCGCTGCACTAAGCGCTCGTTGCTTTCCAGTCTCTCCTGCGCGTCTCTATCTCGTCGCAGAGCAAGCGGGAGCGAGAAGTGGTCCAGAGCCCAAAGGAGGAAGGGGCTTTTCTATATTGCTCCTTGTTCCCCTCTCCTTCCCACTTGTGTGTGAGGCAGTGTAAGAGCCATGGAGCGAAGAGCCTGGACTCTGCAGTGCACTGCTTTTGCTCTCTTTTGCTCTTGGTGTGCATTGAACAGTGTAAAAGCGAAGAGGCAGTTTGTGAATGAATGGGCGGCAGAGATCCCCGGCGGACCGGAGGCAGCCTCGGCAATAGCCGAGGAGCTGGGCTATGACCTCTTGGGTCAGGTAAGAGTTTGCACTTTCAAAAAACTTTCTGGGGCTCAAGGGGACGGCGGGACTGGAGCACGATCTCCCAAGTGGGAGTCCCAGGTTGCACTCTCCTGAGCCCAGGGGCAAAGAGCAGGAGCTTCTCCAGCTCTCGCCCCTGGCGCGCTTGGAGAGAGAAAGCTTACATTATTTATTGTTTGGGCAGGGCGCAGCCAGGCAGAACCAAGCCTCTGCAGCTGGGTAAGCTTCTTTTGCTGTTTTCCGCTCTGGAAATGAAATCTGTTCCCGCGCGATTTGGAAGAAAAATCCCTCCACGCTTGTTCTCGGGACTTGAGATGCACGCAGGCTCTTACCAACCAAGTGCCCACGGGCGCTCTGTCCCCTGGGACTCAGCAGGTCTGCGTCAGTAGCCGACCGTTTCCTTCTTTTCAATATGGCAGCATCACATCCAAGTCCTGATGCAAGGGGCCAAGCGGGCTTGGAGATGCCTGCCGGCAGCTTTTACAGATACGCCCAGAGTGCTGGGAGAGCGCCAGTGGCTGAGACTCGTGACCGGGGAACTGGGGGGCCGCGGAATGGCCTGGGGAGCTAGTGGGAGAAGAGGTCGGTGAGAAACATGGGATCACCTTTCTGCGCCTCTACTGGGAGCTCTGGATTCTCACAGGGAACTTGCAAAGTCCGAGCTTAACAACTTTGCTAGGTCAGTCCCCCTGATGGGTCAAGCTGCCAAAGTGACTGCGGGGAAAGGATTTTTTTCTTTATTGTTTCTCAGCCAAATGCATAATAGCTTCCCAGGGGTTTCAGCTTGCGAAGGAAACTGTTGCCCATCCAAGTGCGGACTGGGTTAATAAATAGCTAGCGGGGGTGCGGTGGGGGATGGGCGACGTTAAGGAAATGAAGGGGGCTTAGTTGTGCGACTCCAGCTGTACCCCAGGGGGTGTGAGTTCTAATCTAAGCTTTCCTTTCCCTTGGGTCTGAATCAAGCTCTCGTCCTTTGCCTTGTAAATTGTTGTGCATCGAAACGGGGGAGGAGGGAGTTGTAAAACATTTTGGCGCGTTTTTTCTAGAGGTGATGACAGAGATGCAGCTGAAGTCATGGATGAGTAATCCGCGTGGGAGTTGGCCATTCCATAGATCGAATCTGCTGGGGAATGTGCCTTTCCTTGCCAGAAGCTTCATTCTCCAACTTTATGAGCCAAACTGTCTGAAATGCCCAGCAGGAAAGTCAGTACACATATTGACTTCTCTTCTCTGTGTCCCAGTAGCAGACCAAGACTTTTGCTTTGGCCCTAATCCTTGTTTTGTGCCAGATTTGGTGTTAGGGGATGAGGAATAATAGGGAGAAAAGAAACTTTCAAGAAATTAAGAATCTAGAGGCTGGTTTAGAAATAAATGATTGCAATTGCATGTAATTGGTGTAGAAACAGAAGCTGTTTCCAGGGTTCTCAATACTTGTTGATTGAAGGATTGAAGATGGAAGGGAAATGGGGAGGGATGAAAGACGACAGCCCAAGGAGGAAACATCTGCACAGGGTTTAGGAAGAAGAGTCAAAGGTTGCAATGGGGAACATGTTGAGTTTGAAGAAGGCACTCCAGGCATAGAAAACAGCTTGTGGGAAACCAGGGAGACACAAAAAAAGTGGCTTAGTGATAAGTCTGGAAACTGCAAGGAATTGTTGGGACCTAAAGAGAGAGTGAGCAGTGGGTGGAATTGTACTGATGGGTACTGTGGGCATTATGGAAATCCTGAGTGCCCTATAAGGAGGAAAAAAACTGAGAACTTAATCATTTGGACAGCTAAATAGTATTGGTAACTGTGTCGCAGAAGGAGATTGGAGGAGAGAGCAAAAAATAAATCCCTCTTCCTTTTCTCACCTATTAGCCCCAGACATACATCCAAACCTGGACCATTTATTATAGGCACTGCTTTTCAAAATCACAAATCCCAGTAAATAAATAAGTAACAAATCAGTATTCTTAGTAGGATCTTCACAGAAGGGATGGATGGCACAATCACAAGAGGCTTTAGAAAATACTGGGAACAGACTCATAGACAGAATATAGATGTGTGGTTGCCAGCGGGGAGGGGGGTGGGAAGGGATAAACTGGGAGTTCGAGATTTGCAGATAACTGACTGGTATACATAAAATAGATAAACAAGTTTATACTGTATAGCACAGGGAAATATATTTAATATCTTGTAGTAGCTCACGGTAAAAAAGAATGCGAGAATGAATACATGTATGTTCATGTATGGTTGAACATACATGTACACCAGGAGTTGACACAACATTGTAAACTGACCGTAACTCAATAAAAAAAAATACTGGGAAAACCCATCTGTATTTACATATGATTTGCATATGTATATTTCCAGGTAAAATGGCATTACTAACAAATGTTTTTAAAATAATAATCGTTTGGAAAAGACTGCATGTGCTTTCCTGGTTCTGCCTATTTCTCCCTTTGTTTACATTTAGCATCACTATCCTGAGCTCCTTAAGGCCTCAAGATAAAGCTGGGATTAGGGGGATGACCAGAAGCAAAACCAGTTGGCAGCACAAACAGAGCAAAGCATTGGTGATCTTTTCTTATGGCTACTGTTCTCTTTCCCCAACTCCATCTATGACTCATAGCAGATTCACTCCCTGAAGTTCAGGCTTGGAGTAGGGCCTAAGTATCTCTAAAAATTCTCTAGGTGATGAGAACCACCAATTTAAAGAATGTAATTCTTCTGAAATAATCCACTGTCAACTGTTTGTCTCTTAATTAAAAAAAATACAGAGCATCTAGAGAATTTAGTAGGTTCAAATTCAGTATTATTTTGAATAGAGGGAAACTAGCTTAAAAGAACAATGAACATTGTTCCAAATGGACCAAATGTATTGATAGTCACCCAGAGAACTTTACCCACTCTAAGGTGAAACACCTGTCCTAAATGTGGCATCCTGGTTCTTTCCTCAAAGCCTTGAACTATTGGGAAGTCAAATGGTCACTACTAGTGGCTTATAACAATTATCATTATGGAGTCAATGGATATATTTCATAACAACAATGAATTGTTTTAGCTGACACTGCCCATATATAATACCAAAGAGTTTGCTTGCTTTTTTAAAAAATTATTCTTTGCCAAGATAAATTTGACAAAATGAGTATTTTTTATAAATGTCTATCTGCAAAATAATGTCTCCTAGAAAAACAAAAGTAGTTCCTCTGAACGATGTGAAAGAGAAGCATCACCAGGCCCCGATAATGCTGTCAGCCCAAGTGATAATATCTTGAGACTCATCTCACTCAACTCTCTAAGAGACGGAAGGCTTCTATTAGCGTCTTCCTCGTCAAGAAAAAAGTTAACTTCAAGTACAAGAAATGAGCTTAACAAAAGTTGCCTGTCTCTAAGTTAGCTGGGTATCAATCTAACCCAAATATACTTATTTTAGGAGGAGGATTTTTATTTTACATTTTTTCTTTTATAGATTGGATCACTTGAAAATCACTACTTATTCAAACATAAAAACCATCCTCGGAGGTCTCGAAGGAGTGCCTTTCATATCACTAAGAGATTATCTGATGATGATCGTGTAAGTGTTGTGCATTTGTCTTCAAACTAGTAACCTGCCTTATCTACTTTCTTTATGATTGCCAACAAGGGTAAAAGCACTTTGCAAATATGCTTCTTTTTTGGTTGTGTTCACATTTATCTGTAGTGTTTTTTAATTATTTCCATAGGGTTATAATTGTACATAATAATAACTAGATTGGATTGAATTGGTTGACTAAATTTTACATGTATAAATACATAATACATGTAAAATATGTATTATATATCTAAAACACTAACTTACAAGTCCAGTCTAAGAGCATGAAAGTGAATACTGAGAATCAAGTGGCAGCACCAATAAAATGTTTGACAATACAGTCAATCAACAATCTTTTACTATAATGCCTATTATGCACTAAGCACTTTGATATCTCATATGGTGATGCCAAAGAAATATAATATATAAACCCTGCTTTTAATACTATTTCAGTGTAACTGAAAAAAATCACTCTGTCACTTCTACTGGATTTGGATACAGATAACTAGTGTTTTTGAGGGAGCTTTAAATCCATGTCTTCATGAGGCAAATGTTTTCTTCCAGAAGTATTGTATTGTTTGATCCAAAGCATTTGATCTTTTTTATCCCGGTGTGTATACATATTCAATGATTAGGCAACATCAGGAAATGTCTAGAATAAATCTAGGTAAAGTGTGGGGCCATTCATGTGTATTTAATGTACCTATTGATTTTTGAAGTCTGTTTTCAAGGTCAGCTAACATATCAGTAGAAATATTGGCATGAAATAGAAATTTGAAGTACTGGAATTTGCATATACAATGTTGCCTTTTCTCAAAAATGTGCCATACTAGTGGAAATTTGTCCTGGCTGGCCTGATATCTGTATACATGATTTCTGTTGTCTAGAACACTCTAGAGAATTATGATAGCTTTATGAAAAATAAAACACACGCTGTCACCTTTCCAAAAAGAAAAGTATAAGTGACAGAAAGGTGTTTAGAACAGTTGAAAGTACATGGAATTCATGAACCCTGTAAAATAATTTGCTATCTTATTTGTTATGCAACTGATAAAATTTAGAGAAGAAGAAGAAAAAGACAAATTATGAGGTTAAGGAATGACTGGGCCTGGGTTACCAGTGTTGAAACATGAAAGAAGCAACCACCTCCACACCAACAATACTGTATCAGAACTATGGACAGTGACCCACAGCTCACATACAGCCATTACTGGCTTTTATTCAGGTTACTGGCTAGATGTGGAAAACCAAAGACCCTGAACATTAAACATTTCTTGTCCAGTGAAATCTTCCCTTCGCTGTCCCAAGGCAGGTGGCTAATTTTATGTGGGCTCTGGAAGTGGGGTAACTTGCAGCACTCTGGCTAGGCTTACTTCTTGGGCAAAAAACAAGAGACTTATTTCCTTGTCTGCCTAAAAGCATGTCTGACATTAATGCACAAGAAAGTCAAACTGACCTCCCTTCTCATTTTCATAGTAGAAAATTGGACAGAGTGGAGCAGACCTAGCTGTTACTATTACTCAAAGTCTCTCACTAAAATGAACAGATGGCTCAGTTCTACTCTTTAGATATTTCCTTAATAATTGACTGGGGGTGGGAAATCTCAAAGCATAATGAAAAAGAGCTAAGAATTTACTCTAGAGCATAACTTCATAAGAAAGGAGTCTGTATATTCCTATGGAAAGTTATCCCCAGAATAATTTTATTTCAGGAAAAATCCTAGAACCCATTGAAACTTGCAGTAGAAAGTTGGACTAGATGATTTTTAATGCCCTTTTCAAATCAAAAGGGTTATATACAATTAAGTACATGATACCTATTATATACATACTAGAAGGACATCACCAGTTTGCTCTGTTCCATCTGGTCTCCTCTTACAGAGATTAATATGGGATTAATATCATTAATGATATTAATCACAACACTATTTCCAACAATTGGATGTTTATCTGATCAGATGGCAGAGTGCCTCTTCTTATATTCCATTTTTTAAAAATCACTTTTGATTTTCATTTTATTGCTCTTTTTTAATAAGGGTATTATTCTTTCAAATTAGCCCTCTGAAATGCACCAGTAAGCTACCTTTACAAGTCAGTTAATAAAAGCTCCAACTGTAAGTGACTCTCTCCCTCAAAGATTAGTACTTGTTCCCTAGCAGCCAGCTCCCAAAGACCAACTCGGATGACAGGCAGTATATTCCAAGCATTGAGGTATTTTAAGCCAAAACAATTAAGCTTGAAAATACAAGCACTTTAAAAATAAATTACAGTGACTAATTTCTGGCTCTCAAGTCCCTCCCAGTGTTTATAATAGGCTTGAAGTATATTTTCTCATTGAAAATTCAGGGCAGCCATTGTGGATGGTTTTATCCTTTAGTTGCAAATTATTTTTCAGCTTTTATTTTTGGATCTGACTCATCAGTATTCTCACATTAACGGTATCCTATCACACACTGGACTGTCATCATGTGTACCAAAGAGAGGATATGTTTTGGGTAGGAAACAGTCATGTTGCACAGCAAAATAGGAGCATGGTATTATTTCATAATGAATATAACCACAAGGCAGCCCCTCATCCTCTCAGGGCCTCAAGTATAATTGGATTATACTATAAATGTGGGGAAGGTAATTTCTGTATTGTCAGATCTCTTTGCATAATACACGAAACTAAATTAATGGTAAGTGTGCACCGTCAGTAGTGCTCATTCATCACCCTGGATCTGTTCCTCTTATTAAATACTCTTAAGCAGGTGGTTGAAGCAGTGGAGCCAGAATTTTGAATTTGCAAAGACACTGCACCTTTCCTGTCTTTTGTTACATTTGCAAATTCTATTTTGTGTGTAAAGAAAGAGAAATTAAGCTTTAAGAGCACCATAACAGCAATCACTGGAATCTCTTAGCTTCTTAACTTATTCCATAAAAATAGACAAGTTTTCAGCTACAGAACCCTGGAATCTCAATATAAAAATGAATATTATGGTCCATTTGCTGATGAAAGCAGGCTGAACTTTTACTTCCACCGTAATCACAATGTAAATAATTTGAGGGAATCATCACTTCACTGACTGCTTCTCCTCCTCCTATTAGAGTAAAGGTACACTTTACTCCATTAGAGGAAATGTTTATCTCCCCAACAGGCAATTCCTTCATCTCACTGAGCTACCAGTTTGATCTGTAGTCAAATGAAAACACTGTGGAGCTGCCTGAACTCTGATGGAGAGGGTACTACAACTAGTTAGAGGAAAGATGGTTACACCAGAGGTAGCTATTTGACTGTTGGTTTTCTTGCTATGAAACTCCTTGTAGGTGATATGGGCTGAACAACAGTATGAAAAAGAGAGAAGTAAACGTTCAGTTCCAAGAGACTCAGCACTAAATCTCTTCAATGATCCAATGTGGAATCAGCAGTGGTACTTGGTAAGTACCTACAGAAGGACCGCGTGGGACTTGTGCACAATAGATTTTTTTTTTTAATGATGGATAATTCAGCAGAGGGTTATGTCACCTGGAGATTAGGTTTGATAGGACCTTCCATTGTCTGGATTTTCTGTTTTATTAGGTAAGAATGTCTGAAATACAGCTCTTTAGCTACTGTGAAAGGAAAGATTATTGCCTTTTTGTCTTCTTAAGTTTATCTGGAATAAGTACAAAAGAATCATGCCTTCCAAGTTAGGAATTCCAAAATAGTACTCGTGGGAAAAATCACATTTGCTCAAAGTTACTCTTGAGAACACTTTAAATCACCCAAAGAGAACAGTGAACATGATTCAGTACAGCCCTGAGAGGCAATTTTAACATGCTTACAGGTAAGAATTTCTGAACTAGGCTAAAGGAAGGAACACAAGGAAAGACACAAGGTATCTCTTCACAGATTTCTATACTTGCGAGCCACTCTACCTTTAAGATTGTTCCAGATTCCTACTGGAATGTGGGCATTGAGTGGAAAAATTGTAAGAGCTCCTGCTTGCCTGTAGAGTGCTCTTCCTCCTGTTTTAACATGAAGGCTCTGTCATAGTAATACATGTTAAAAGATATGTTTATTTGTTGAGGATATTATAAAAGATAAATTTTCATGATAACCATAAGCCAAGGCTTAGACATCCTTGTTGCAAAATGGATGGGAAAGGAGATCAATTCCTCTTAGAACTCTCTTAACCTAAGCAGGACTTGCTCATTGCAGTGCAAGAGACCCATTAGCTAAGATTGGTGCATTTACCATGTGCCAAATCCTATTCTAAATGTTTGACATGAATTGACTCATTTAGATCTCACACAACATTTTGTTGTAGATACAGTAAATATGCCCATTTATCAGATGAAGAAACAGAGACGTTGTTAAGTTGAATCGCTTGCCAAGATCACATGGTTACTAGTGGTGGGGCCATAATTCATGGCCATACTCTTAACAACCACACTCTATGAATTTTCTTGTGACTGACATAGAGAACTCCTCTGGCTTTGGCCAACATGTTGTGTGTAGTTCAACCCTCCTGCAATTCAGCTACATGTTGGCCTAGTAAATTCTGGGTTTGCCCTACATCTTCCTGAGGGGTATCAGCCACTGGACAATGCATTCACTGATACTTTTGATTGTTGTCATTTGCAAATTTCTTATTGACCTCCTTCACTAAAAGCCTGGCACTCTTCCAGTGCATCTCTCTCACATGCTTGGGGATTTTACTCATATCTGTGTTCCTATGCTGTCCAGCTCTTCTTCCCTAGAAAACTGTAACTATCAGAAAAGTTATCTGAAAAAAAATCCCAAATCTCCTCTCACAGATGCTTACTCCCTAAATTACTCATACTTGGAAACAGGCAGTTAAATTGCAAGTCTTGGTGAGGCCACAGCCTCCTGGGCATTCCATGTTTTGCCTTTACTTTTAGAAAAGTTACAGAAACATCCATGAATAACTGTGAACCAGACAACATAGTAGGTTCAGTATGGCAATGGAGGCTCAGGATTTGGGGGGAGATGGAAACATGGGACATCAAATAAAGCTTTGGTAAATGAAAAGCTAGAGCGTGTAATTATAAATGAAAGCAACTTAGGGACAAACTTCTTCTCCAAAGCCACATAGCTCAAAGAGAAGGGGCACAGGGTGATTCATCCTTTAGAGTGATTTTCCATTGGAACAGTTAGAAAAACAACAGCACTCTGATGATTCACTTGGTCCTACCCTCAAGTTTTTTTTTTACTTCACCTAATTGCCTTCTTGTAAAGAGTAGAGTGACCCCGGGAAAAAGAAAGACGGGTCTCCAGACTGGAGCTTCAGTTCTCATTTGTAGCAAGCAGATCATGATTTTATCAATGCTTCCTTGTTTTTCTTTACTAGCAAGATACTAGGATGACTGCAGCCCTGCCCAAGCTGGATCTCCATGTGATACCTGTTTGGCAAAAAGGCATCACAGGCAAAGGAGTTGTTATCACTGTACTGGATGATGGCTTGGAATGGAATCACACAGATATCTATGCCAATTATGTGAGTCTGAGTCCTCCTGTGAGTGTAACTTAGGGAACTGTCTACACAGACACAGTTAGGGCTTTCCTTCCCTCAAACAGGAGGCTACTCTGATATCAGCCCTGGGAATGATGGACCGACCTTTGTCACTGTCCTCACCCTCCTGCCAGCGCACACAAACTTTCTTTTGTTTCACTGGGCATTGAAAGAATTCAGTGGAGCCAAGGACTATACAAAAACCCGTGTGTTGGGGTTGGGGGAGAACTTACTAAATTATTAAAAGCCATTCAAATTCTATGTCACTCAGTATTGGGGGATATTAAAGCAATCAAATCAAACCTGATGCCTTAGATCATTTTCATAGTCTTTCTCCTCATAGTCCTTATGGGTCAATCTCTCTCACATTATGAAGTTATGTGAATATGATTTCTTCCATGGAAATCAAAGCATACACCACAAAGCACAAAAAAAGAGTCAAACCAAGAAAAGCCATTAGAAATGGGAACTAAGTAAACAAAAGTTAGCTACTTAATTGTTTATGAAGTTCTTCATAATATTTTAGGTCTTTAGATGAGTGTTTAGTCTTGAAAATTGCCCTTTGGCTTTCTCTCAACCTTTCCACTAACCAACATTCCCCAGCTAAAGAGTAAGGAAAAGGGAAGGAAAAGAAGAGATAAAAAATATTAGTAGAAAGTAGCAATTATTGAAAGATATGGAAAATACAGAGAAGGAGTAGTAGTGGTGATACAATTCCTACGTGGAAGATGTTTAAGAGTAGCAATCTGGTTGGAAAAGGGAATAGGACCTGGAAGCTGGTCTTGAATTTCAAGCACACCCTCTTTAATTAAATTATATGTTTATTTTAGAGTAACAGGGGAGGCCGAAGGAGATCACTGTTGACCTGAGTCCCACCCCAGAGCCAGTCTTTCCATCTATTTTCTTAAGAGAGATGAGTGTCCAAGTGTCACTAGCTAGCGCTCTGGCTTAGTTATTAAGTCATTCATCTTCTCTGGGCCTGTTTTCTCATTTGAAAAATGAGGTGGCTGAACTAAGTAAACTCTGGTTCTTTCTGGTTCTAGCATCCTATGAGCTTCTGTGAGTTGTACATTTGGTAACATTCACTGAGAATTTGACCCTGGCTCATTTTTTTATGTACATTGTCTCTGCCTGGTTTATGGGTATAATAAATAATTAGCAACTGGGCCAGAAACTCTGAAATGCTTACTTTTGAGCCATCAGCCAGGATGGCAATGGGATAGGGGTAGAAAGCTTGGAAAGTGCTGCTTTTTAATGATGCTACAGTGTTATTTTTGTTCTCTCTTTAGGATCCAGAGGCTAGCTATGATTTTAATGATAATGACCATGATCCATTTCCCCGATATGATCCCACAAATGAGAACAAGTGAGTAAATGTGAATGTGGTAGGGCGGGGGAGCGGTAAGTGCTTTAAAATGCTTTTATCTTATTTGAGAAAATTACACTATAAACATGATCCGCATTTTAGTACTCAGAAAATGTTCATGTACACCATCCATACCACAATATTTTGTTGCTTTTAAAACAGAAACAAAAGCTTCTATTTGTACATTCCCTTTGGCTTACAGAACTGTATTTGAATTCATCTTTCTTAAATTATGAAATGCTCCCCTCAAATGTTACTGAATAGTTACACAGCTTTAGGAAAAATGTTTGAGACGTAAAGAATAAAAACCTTGAGCCCATGTCCCCTGTCCCCAATTCCTCTCTGAATCTTTCACTATTAGTGATGTGCTTGAGGTTACTCATGAAAAGAAACATAGATGACCAAGATAACAAATCCACATGACTTGCTCTGGTGGCCACAATCATGTTCACCAGCTCTCTCTGGAAGAGCATGATCAGACCCCAGAGAAAAGAAATGTACCCTGAGACCTGGCCTCAGATCCAACACAAGTCTCCAGGGCATTAGGCTAGGCAGTAGCCTGGTCCAGAGCTTGTACTGGGTATGCTAAAGCTGAAGGGAAGAGAACAAGGGTATCTTCTGACTCCTAAACTAACTCTCCATGGCAGCCACAGGGTCATGAGGAAGGCCAAGGGCCAGACTTGCTAAAGTAAGAGGCCAAATAAAGATACGGAGGCAAGAGGTATTTTAACCTTTATTTCCTAGCCCCAAAGAAACTTCACCCTCTAGGCACATGGCCTCAAGTGTCCATGCCCGTGTGAGATCATCTTTGTGCACAATGATGTCTCTTGCAGACTTTAAGGAGAAATTCCTACTTTCCTCTTCATTTGCTCCACCCAAAAGAGACTTGCACTCAAGTAGATGAAAGCCAAGGAAAAATTAGTGCTTGCTGCTTTGAGTGGGGACGGAAAGAGCAAGCAATGAAAAGCTCTTTGTGGATGCCACATCAAGTGCTTCCCTTTTCTTTTCTCCTCTTTTGGACTATTACGAAAATTGGGTCCATCAAGCTCTCTCCTCACTCTTTCTTTCCCCGTCTCCAATTCTCTCCCTTTCTTCCTTATTGTCTCAGAATTCCCATGTGGCTGGTGCAATAACACTGACCTAAAATTGTTACTTTGGATTGTCCCCCTCCAGAAGGCCAATAAAACCCTGGAAGAGAGACTGTCATTCATGGACTTAGCCTCAACTTCTGGGTGTATATTTCTTCCTTGGCGAGAAGGGGAGGCTTGGGGAGGGTCCCAGGATACTGCTTCTTTCAGTACCATTTACTTCTTCTGGAGTTTATTTGTTAAAGGGGTTAACAGCAAACACCCTTAGACGTTAGAACATTCCATTAACAATACAAAAGAAACTGTGAAGGGTCACCCTTGAAGCAAAGTGGGATGGCTCTCGAACTTAGAGCAGGGCCAACAGACAAGTGTTCAGCCATATTTCTGAGTCAGAGCAGTGCAGGACCAGGAGGAACATCTGTACTTTAAGAGCACAACCTTGTAATGTCAGCTTGGCAGCAGCAATGACTTTGCTGATTACCAGTGGGGAGGGTGACCTTGAAGAGATCACTTATCTCACTTTGCCTCTATTTTTCATTTTGTCCCCTAAAATGGTGACAAGGCCCCTGTTCCCTACCCTCCTAAAAGGAAATTCCTAAGGAAATGGGCAATAGGATCTTGGAAAAAAGTGGCACCCTTCTTAGAATGAAGTAAAAATGACAACTCATTCCACTCCGTTGGTCAAGACTAAGAGGGAAATCTTCCCCCATCCACACGGGTGCAGCTGGGGAGACTTAGCTGGAGGTGTCAGCCTCCTTCCTTAGGCCCCGGGTCTGGCCTAAGATGCAGTGTGGGTAATAACTTGCATCGTAGACGCAGGATAGGTGAACACCTGGTGAAATGATATTCTGTAAAGTTTCTGTACTCAGGATAAAAGTACTCCCTCTTCCCTCCTCCCAAAAAACAGACTCTCAACTCACAGTACTTATAATAGCCCCATTTGCCTCAACTCATGGAATTTCAAAGCCTCCAGGAAGCGGCCCATATAATTGTACGTATTTTGCACCTGCAAACTCTGAGCTTCTAAAGCGTAGCAGACCACGGACCTCCCATATTGCACAGAGGTAGTGTGACCACAGCCAAACACTTAAGAGCACAGACTTTGCAGCTAGATTTAGATCAAATCTTAGATCTGCCACTTAATAGCTGAGTGATCTTCAGCAAATTATTTAATCTCTTTGTGACTTAGTTTTTACTGTCTACTAAAAAGGAATAATAATAGTAATTATTTCAGTGGGTCATTATGGGGGTTAAATATGTTTATATACGTAATTGGCTTGGATAGTGCCTGGTACATGGACAGAGCTAAGTGTTTGCTATGACGATGATGATGATGATGATGACGACGACGACAATGACCCTAATGATGATGATGATCACGGATTCTCATTTAGCAACCATGGTAGACCTCCTTTCACTGAGAAATAAGCATGACAAGAATAATACCACCCAATGAGAGCAGAAGCAGAGACAAATCAATTTTCTGAACCAATTCAGAATCTGCTATTTGAAAATTACACAATAAGCAACTCTCTCTCTGGGTCCTCTTCACTATCAACCAGAAAGGTAGCAGCCCTATCATTTATCAAAAGGTATAATAAAAAACAGTTACCCTTCCAGCATGTTGTCAGAAACAAATCCCTTACGTTTAGAAAATGAATGGCCCCATTTTGTCTTGGCCTTCATAGCAGATAGAAACCTATTATCTCCCAATTCCCAGGGTATTATCTCTCCAAACTATCTGTGTTGCTGCTGTTCTTTATTACCATGTAAATAAGGTTAATAAAAGCTGCATTTGATTTCTCCTCTGCAAATCAAAAGAGGAATCACTAAGCAAAAACATCTTAACAGTGCAGGTAGCTCTTACTATTAAGCTGGCATGAATTTGTATTCAGCATTTCAACACCAATTACAGATTATTTTTCCAGTTATATAACATGTATGGCAAGGATATTTTAACTAATACAATAGTAGTCTTGAAACTATCTTGTGGAATAATTTTTTAAAAATTGATTTGTTTAAATGCCAGTTATGACCACTGTTCTAAAACAACCAAGGGCTCTTTTATCTCAGAGCCTGATTGAAGGAAAGAAAGCTGCAGGTCTATAAAGGATGACACAGAACCACTTTGATAAAGTCTTCTCTTTTTCTCAAGGTGTGGAGGTGGGAAGAGGAGGAAAAGATATCAACCCCTATTTGTCCCATGATTCTGCACCTTTCAAGAAAATAGCTCTCAGTATGTAAGGACAGGTTAATAATATGTAGTGTCACACTGCATCATTTTTAGGACAGAGGTACAATGCTGGGGATATTAGCCAACAGGCTGATTCTTTTGGCTCTGCCTGGAGACTTTGCTATCTGGGGCCTTGTCTCCCATCCTGTGTTAATGGAAATACAGGGGGTGGTGTGACATCTGGAAGCACAATTCCAGGATGGCAACTGAATTTTTCCTTTAACAAAGGCAAAGAGGACTAACTCATCAAAGAAGCATACAATTTCTTCTATGTGTTCAACATGCACATATTTCTTAGGGAATGTGTGTGTTGGTCAGGACAGCTTCAGTTGCAAATGAAAGACTTCTAACTAAAGGATTAAGTAAAATGGGGATTTAGAAAAAATTCACCCAAGGGATGTTCTACCTTCAGGCATTGCAAGATCCAGGAACTCAAATAATATACCGTCAGGATCAGCTACTCTGTCTCCATCTCCTCATACTGCTCACCTCCACTTAGCTTCATTCTCAACAGAATCTTGCTTGGGAGCCAGATCCACATGGTTCACATAGAACTTAAAGATTCTGGAGAAGGAATGTAATTTTCTTCCCGAGAATCTACCTCAATTCTTGAAAGCTGTCTGGGAGGACAAGCCTCATGATAGAGAATCACAAGGAGTGAGCAAGGGCCACTTCCCAAAAGGGAAAAAATGCTAGAAAGACCAAAAAGAAATGGATGTCTACTACATCAAGGAAGACCTTGGATTAAAGATAATCACACTGTTCTGACTTGGGACTCCTATCCAGTATTAACATAAAGGAGGAACACTATTTAGTGGAAGGAAACCAGGAAATCAACCAGTCAATTTAGGATTTTACATTTCGTGTTGGGCTAAATTAATAGATGTCTAGTACAGTGTGTCTAAAAGCATCTGGCTGAAAGAGTTGCTCAGAGCTAATCCTTCCTCTTTCATCCTCTATGTCAGCATATCTGATCAACGGCTCCTTCAATGCACCAACAGCCTACACACTGTCCCCAGGGGCTTCCACAGTGCAATGAAGTCATGAAATAAACAAATATACATTAATGTTCTCTTGACTTACTGACCCTCCTGAGGTCAGGGAGGAGAGGGAAAAAGACAATCACTATACCTAGAATTTCAGAGTTGATGCTTTAATGGTGGACTTTGGTCCACATATCTAAATAGATAGATCGCCACCCCCCCCCACCCCCTGCCAAATACTCCAAAATCCTAAATTACCCTCTTTATCTGATTGCAAAACCAGTCTTGTTCAGGCTTCTAGTCCCAATCAGGGTTGCAGGAGCACCCTGGTCTTCCAATTAGCCTGTACTGTCTTGTTAATATCTCAAAATCCTCTCGCTACCAGAAAACCTTTGGATGTTTTTTAGTTTGGTATACGGCTAGAGGAGGAGAGGAGGGCTTGAGAGGGGACTCTGTTCTCCATATCCCACTAGGACTGGTCCAGAATAACCTAATTCAAGGGAGTCACTAGTGAGGGATAAGTGAGGAGTCACTTTAATACCAAAAAGTACACGCAAAAGGCATTTCTTTGAGATGGTTTCTGAAAGTGTCAGAGCTGCTTGTAAGTATGGATAGCTAACACTTCCTGCCTTCTTACAATATACCAGCCACAGTTCTAAGTGTTCTACATACAGTATTTCATGTCATGCCACAATTCTTTGAGGACCAGCAATTTACCCAAGATCACACCACTAGTTAGCAGTAGAAGCTCTAATCTGACCTCACAAACTTGGGCTCCAGTACTTGTGACCTACATTTCATTTAATACTGATGGTTTCATCTAAATCCAGCCACAAAGCTGACAAAAAGTTAATATACCTTTGTATCATGGATTTATACGCAAAACCAGTATTTGTCCTCATGTGTTTTTTAAATCCTGTTTTCTAATCCTCAGACATGGGACCAGATGTGCAGGAGAAATTGCCATGCAAGCAAATAATCACAAGTGTGGGGTCGGAGTCGCATACAGCTCCAAAGTTGGAGGTAAAGTGGACGGCTCTTTCTGCGGTTTGGCAGTTGAATCTGAGTCTTGCATTACCTGGTGCAAATGGGGTAATACAAGACCTGGGTCACCTGGGGTCGGGGGGACTTTTCAACAACCAGAGGAAGAAATTGAACGCCATGCAAAATTTGCCGCCCGACTCAAATACGATTTGCAAGCAAATCATTGGGTCTGGATTCTTAGAAAATGATAGCTGAATACAGCCCATACATCTTGTTGAGGGGAAAAAATGGAAATGTTGAATAGCTTTTGAAGCAAATCTAATTTTCTCTGTGTTCTGATTTAGAAGGCTTTGTTATTGAGTGCTTGCTAAGAGAACAGAAGGAAGAGGTAAATTTAGGCAAAGACTTCCCCTGCCTTTCAATTCTGGAGTCCTTCATTTCATCACTGAGAACAGTTTATTTAACAAAAATAAAAGGAATACATACTTGTTATAGTAAGAAGCCAAAGGTTATCTTGGATAACAAGAATTTAGAATCTCTGGTTGCTGCAGTCAGTGTCTTTATGGGTAAGCAGATGGTAAGTTCCAGCAGGGCGATTTAATAAAGGAACTATTTACAAAAGTTAAAGGAAACCAAAGAGGGGCTAACTAATGTAAGCAGATGTTACCACCCTCAGACCTAATGGAGCAAGAGGAGGAAGTTGAAGAGAGAAGCTGTGGTCATAAGAGACAGCCATTGGACAGGAGCTGTGGCCTTGAGTGCACAGTGGAGCTGCTTCTAGGCAGGGAGGATCCAGGAATGAGTACCTCTCTCTCCCCTCATCCCCCACCTCCCTCCTGCTGCTTTCTTCAGTTGGCTGAAACCAACAGGAAGACAAGAGAGGCCACAGCTGACATCCACATTCCTGGGAAGAAGGGTGCAGAGTGGATCTGCAGGGGCTCACAGAGAATAAAATTTATTTTATTCTCTCCTCTTACGCCCACCCAAACTTAGGCTTTCATGGTTACACTATAAACACTGCATATAGTTTTTTTTTCTAAAACTACAACAAAAAAAAAGATCAATTGTAGAACATGGCAGTGACAGTGAAACTCCTTTAAGCCCTATGTAAGAACAACTTGAATTTGGTTCTGTATTTTCAGAGATCAAATAAACATACACCCCGGCATATGTAATTCATCTCTCACTGACACAGCATGCTTCTAGATTTTAAGTGTCATTCTGATTCCTTTGATACCAGCATCATAAAAGTGCCATGTTAATTTGAAGAAAATGAAGGCAGCAGCAGCAATTACATAATCACCTAGAAAAACAATGCATTTTTTTTAAGTCATGACAAACTAAGTAGCTACAGTTGGCAAGAGAATCATCTGATCCCTTCATTTTACAGAGGAGGAATCAGAAGCAAGGTTCTCAAGGATATTAAAATACACCTACTATGCGTCCATCATTTACCTTACAACACATTATCCTAGAAGTTAACAGGATGGATTTGACTGCCAGCTTTCTGGGATTCAAGTCCCAGCTTCCCAGTTTCAAGCTATGCGGCCCAAGGCAAGTCACTGTCCCTCTCTGGCCTCAGTCTCTCTCTACCTATAAAATGGGGAGAATTACAGCAGCCACCTCAAATGGTTGTCATAAGGACAGATGAGTCCATACATTTAAGGCCTGTAGAACGGTAGCTGCATATAGTATATCCTCAATGCACATGAGCTGTTATCACCCCCATTTTACAGCGGAAGAAACTGAGGCACACAGAGGTTAAGTGGCTTGCCCATGATCACAAAGCTAGTAAGGAGCAGAGCAGGGATTTTTTTTTTCCCAAATGCATTTTAAACCATTTTTTAAAATAAATATGACTTCTACTAGTTGTCAACTACACGTTCTTTTACCTATGCTCCCTAGTAAATAATGGTGTGAAAATCTAAGGCTGTACACTCCACTGTATTATTAGCCTGGAGCCAGGAATAACCAGGTAGCTGCCTGTATTTGTCTAAATTGCTTTTGCCTTCCCGGCCCTTAAATACATGAGTCTGATGATGGGTGACAGCCTGTTGGAAAGCACAAAGAACTACCGCATCTGCTTTCTCCTGATGAAAAATGATTCCCCCTCAGGAGTGAAATCCATGGCAATGATTTCATCCTTGAGATTATTTAGAAGAAAAGGAAGCATGTTCCTTGAAAATGTTTCTTAGCAAACACATAAAAGAATGGCCTCTGGGTTATTTTTAATCAGTGTTCATAAATAAGAGTTCTTTCCCTATTTGTTAGTTGCCTATTGTGGGTAGATCTTTTCAAGCTGCACGGTTTCCCGTACAGAGTGGTTTGTATGGCACTGGCTGGGCTGCAGCAGTTCGTGGTATAGTCGTGGGCAGGCATGTTGAGAGACAGCTGTCTGATGCCTCTTTCTGAAAGCTACCCTGTCATTTTCAGTTTATTAGGGAAGCAGAGGGAGGGGAGACATTTTGTAATCAACAACAAGCATGGCCACTGCACAGTGCATATAGTTATCTTTAAAGGGCAGATAGAAAGCTATTGGAGGCAGTGGCTTGCGTCCTCCTGCTGTGAAGTTAGCAGCTGGGTCACAGGCATTTGGGACATTAACGATTAGCCTGTTTGACTCTTTCGAGAGTCCTCTAAAAAATGAACATTAAGAGCACTGTGCTACTCTATGTGTACACACTGACACCAACTTACATATTTGTCTGCTTGGCTGTTCAGGCATAAGAATGCTGGATGGCATTGTGACTGATGCTATTGAAGCCAGTTCAATTGGATTTAATCCTGGACATGTGGATATTTACAGTGCGAGCTGGGGCCCTAATGATGATGGGAAGACTGTGGAAGGGCCTGGCCGACTAGCCCAGAAGGCTTTTGAATACGGTGTCAAACAGGTGAGATGCTTAACACAGACCCACCTGAAATGAAATCTGACTATTTGAATTGGAGGAGAAGGGAAGAACACTTAGTTTAGATGGAAAGAAACTGTTGTGAATTTCCTGCTGTTGTTTATGACTGGAAGTGCATTTAGAGAGCCAAATCATTCTTCAGTGGGATGGAAATTAAGGGTCAAGAGAGTTTTCTCCCTTGGGCCTGACATTCAACAGATATTCATTATTCTTAGGATCCTTTCTTGAAAAGTACTCTGGATATACCCTTTCTCATTTTCGTGCTGCTTTTGAATTTCTGCACGAAGTAAACTACTACCCAGACCTCTTTCACGTGCTCTGAAAATGCATCCTTAAATAGAGCAATGCCCCTGCCCCCTGCACGTTCCTGCTGAACACTTGTGCCTTGGTTGTGTTCCTGTGTCATTTGGGTTTAGTGTATTCCTGCCAGGATTCTAAGGCCCCTTTCTGCACAGGATGAAACAAAAGTAGAAACTTTGCAGAGCACAAATTGAAAAATCACAGAAAGAGTAGCCTTGACGAGTTCCATTCAATCGAAGAGTCCCTTTTAATGCAGCTGCAAAGCAGATCTGAATAATGCCTGATTTTGTCATTCTATCAGTCAGCCAGAAGATTCAAGCAGAAAGGGAGGAAGTCCAAAGATTCAAGAGTAGTGACAAAAGCCAAGGGAAGAGTGAAAAAAATATGGGTGAGTGCTAAAGGCCAGATTATGAATCCACATAATAAAGAAAAGAAAGAAATGTACTCACTCAGCACCATCCCAGAGAAGGCCCAGATGAAGGAGGACCAGTAGAGCCAAGCTTATAATGTGCAGTCTCACGAGAGTTCCAGCATGGAGGCTGGAGGACCTGGAGTTGAAACGGGCTCCAAGTTACTGGCTCTGTGAACTTCATGCATGTATTTGTTGGGGATTTTACTGGCACGTGACAGTGACCCCAATAGATGATAACAGATGTGATATATTCTGGCTTTTCCTTTAGGGAAGACAAGGAAAGGGCTCTATCTTCGTCTGGGCTTCTGGGAATGGGGGGCGTCAGGGAGATAACTGTGACTGTGACGGATACACGGACAGCATCTACACCATCTCCATCAGCAGTGCCTCACAGCAAGGCCTATCCCCATGGTATGCTGAGAAGTGCTCCTCCACCCTGGCCACCTCCTACAGCAGCGGGGATTACACCGACCAGCGAATTGTATGTTGCTTTTGTCTAACTCTCTCTGCTTAGGTAGGAGAGCACGGCTTGCCTTCAAAAGGATCCTCTGGTCACACTGATTTGCTTAAGCTTGGTATCTCAGTTGGGGAGACCCACACTTTACTCACTTGAAAGGTGGGTGTATATTGGGAAGTTTTCTTTCTCAGTGATAATGAGGCTTCTGCCAAGATGCTGTTGGCTCTCTGTCAGTTTTAAACTCAGCCCTGAGAAGCCACCCACATGTCATTATATATGGCCGAGACTCCAAATGTCTACACAGTTTGTGTGATGCCTCCCTGAAAACAGCCTTAAAGGAGATTTTGGGGTTGCAGGGGCTTTAACTCCCTTGTACTTGTTGATCCTTTAATAGCAGGGAAAATGTCTGACTTGCCCTTTAGCAGATGATAAAAATACAGAGCATATACCAGCTATGTCTCCTAAGAATGGACGACCTGAAGGAAAATAACAGTCAAAATTTCCCCTGAGGTGAACTTCTCAGCATCCGAATAAGCAGCTTAGGAAGGTTATATGCTCAGAGAGCATCTCCAGCCCACGCTTGGCTGTGCCTTCACTTCCATGAGTCAGATTGCCAAGGGCAATTATTGGATTTCCCTTCAAGGGCATGATGATGAAGGGCCATTTGGGGGCTTTGAGAACAAAGAGAGGCACTTTTCATTTAAAAATGTAAAGCCTCAAATTTAACTCCTGACACACAAAGAACCAACTAGCTAAAGTATGGAGATCCTGATCTCAATAAAATAACAGGTCATGATCCCATTAGACTGTGGGTAAACCCCCTAATAATTAGTCCTGGAAATGTGTGTCACATTCATATTAATGGTATATAAATGACCAGAACTACGATCTTCATACCGGATCACTATTCTGGAATGCAGCCTACTCTAGTTCAGACAGTAAAACTGGTCTCACTTAAAAGCCTTCACCTCCCTCCCATGCCCACATCTTCAATTACTCAAATAGACAGTGACATCCTATCCAGGGGTTCTTGATGGTGGGCATAACTGACAGCCTTTGGAAGGGGAGTATAAGACATGTGCCCCACTTCTATTCATAGCCCCTGCTTCTTGATGTCCACGTGGGTGTCCAGAGTGGCTTTTCAGAAGATGGCCTATTGTGTATGTCAGAGTCACCAGCTCATGGACTGTCCCTGATATGAGGCACTCTGCTCTGAAGTAGGAGGAAAAGTTTCCATCTTTGTAAAGATCCCTCCTTAGGTAAATCAGCCAGAGAAGAGACAGCTGGTGGATTCTATTTGAGACAGTTGCAATAATATAGCCTTTGTTTTACGCAAACTTCTTCCTGGGCACAGTCATCTCTGGGGGCTTACTTGCGTCAGCAGGTAAAAAGGGCAAGCTTGCTTCCGCAGCCCTCTGAGGAACAGAGCCACCATAACGAGATACTCAGTGACTCCAAGTGGGAAGCCAAAGGAGGTGATAATAAAACAAATTATTTTTTTACACCTCCCTCCCACACGTTGAAATCTCTAGCTAAAATCTACAGTGCGAGAGCCCTTGAGGGGTGTCTTGTTAGTAATCCTTTGGCTCAACTACTTGTTCAACCAGCAACACCATGGTTCTTAAGGGCAAACTAATTGGAAGTCTTCTTGGTTTCTTCCCTTCGTCTCAGCAACCTCTTCATTAAGCTAAAATTAGCCTGGGTGACTCCTTATGTGCAATACCAGTGTGTGAAAAGCTTTCACAGACAGGATCTCATTTCAGCCTCAGATTATGAGTCAAGAAACACCAACCTCATTTGACAGATGGGGAAACCGGTGACTTGCACCTGGGACACATCTATTGAGTGGCAGGTTTAGAATTTGATCCCACATTTAAGTCTACTATGCTTCCATTTGCAAAACTCAACATTTTCATCAAAGTGCAAAGGTGACATTAACTCATGGCTGTAAGATTACATCAACAGTGAGTGCAAACTACACACTAAACCAATTTTGTGCAAGTAGTTCAAGTGGCCAAACTCAGGATGGCTTTACATCCTTGTGCTGAAGAGGCAGTCAAATGTCAATCTGAAGGCAAAAGGGAATTGCACACAAGGCAGAATTTCTAAATATGCCAGGCCAAACACAATAGACCTGATGATTAATGGGCCAGCATGATTCACAGTGATTTTGAAACAGTCCCTTTTTACAGACAGCATTTCGTTGGGGAAATCTCAGAAGAGAAAATATTCATAGTGGGAGTACTTCATCCCCAGAAAAGGCATCCTGATGCCAGAATTATAGACAAGTTGCATATAGAGGAGAGTGAGCTGAAATATCAGCAGATGGCAAACATCCGCCTGTGGTTTGGAGGAGGAAGTAGGGAATCGAATCAGCTGGGCTTCCTGATCATAGCAGATGCAGCTCTCCGTAGGGCTAACCCCCGGGGACAGGATCACACTCCTCACATGTTCTCCCACGTTTCTTTCCTTCCCGATGCCACACAGACGAGCGCTGACCTGCACAATGACTGCACCGAGACCCACACGGGCACCTCGGCCTCTGCACCCCTGGCTGCTGGCATCTTCGCCCTGGCCCTGGAAGCAAAGTAAGGCCCACAAAGCTTCTAATCACCTGTACTAAGGCTGCCTCTCCCTCTTCTTTCAATGCATATATTATTTTCTGAATACATGGTTACAGTAGAAAACTACAAAAAATAATAAAAATAAGCTCTCTGTTAACATTTCAATCTAAATTTCACACACACACTTATATTACAAAATTAGGATCTTAATTTCACACACTATTTTGTAATTTTTTAAAGCCACCTGTATTAAGAGCACATTCTCACATCTAAATCAATGTTCCTTGACCTTTAAAAACTCATGCTCTCCTCCCAATCCTCCTCTTCTCCCTCAGCTGCAAGGCCTCCTCACTTCTGTTTATTTCCACCAAGAAAGACTTTGTCCAGATAATTTCCTGTGGGTAGTGTTAGGAATAAAAAGCTTGTAAAACATCTTTTTTAAAAAAATAAAGATTATATAAGCTCAGTCCTAGAGCTGATATAACAAGAGAATTAAACACAGAACTTTTATCTTTTTGTAGTATATCATAATATAAATGCAAATTTTATTAAAGTCATCTAATCATGCTTGGATCAACACCCTTGTCCATAGATATTAGTTATCATCTTTGATAATATTCTTAAGATCAACACCTACAACTGGAATTCAGGGGTCAAAGGGCATGATGTTTTAATGATTTTGATACACACTGTCAAATTACTGTCTAAAAAGACTGCACCATTTTATATTCCCAGCAGCAGTATATGTGTGAAAGTGCCAGTTTCCTTAACCCTTATCAAAGCAATTTTTATTATCTTTTAAAATGTTTGCCACTTTAATAGATGAAAATGCTATCTCATCTTTATATGCTTTTATTTCATTACTAATGAAGCTCAGTGTTTTATATTCTTTCACCATTTATCATCTGTGATCGCTTGTTTATAACCTTGATTTGGTTTTATGGCCTTACTTAGAAAAGCTATTAATGCTAGGTTTGGTTAGTTTGACATTTACCTTTTAATTTTATTTTATGTTATGTTTAACATAATGAAGTTAATAGGTATACAGGTGTATTTGTCAGCCTCTTTCTTTAAGGCTTTTCTCCTTCTCTATGCTCAGAAAAATCTTTACAACACCAAATTATATAAGCACTATTTATTATGGCTCCCTTACCATATTTATGTTTTAAATCCCCCTTGGAATATATTTTAATTTATGTTATTAAAAAGGGATTTAGCAATATTTTTTCCTCATAATAGTTATCCAATAGTCCAATACTCAGTACAACGTAAAACAAACAAAAAAGCCTAAATGTCTCATATGTATATCCACAGCTTTTTTCTTTTTCTTTCTTTCTTTCTTTCTTTTAGTGGAGGTACTGGGGATTGAACCCAGGACCTTGTTCATGCTAAGCACGCACTCTACTACTGAGCTATACCCTCCCCTCACAGCTTTTGATTCATCCTTATTTCTGCTTTCTGATGCTGTGTGGTGAGAAATCTTTAAATGTCAAGTCAGGTGCTATGGCTGCATGATATAGGAAGTGTTTAAACTTGTAAATTACTATCATCCTTCCCTATAAGGAGGTTATCCTAGAAGAACATCCATGTTCTCTAGAGAGAGGACAAAGCAGTCCCCTCATGACACGTCCAGTAGATGAGGTTCAAAGGAGCAGAACAGGAGCACATCTTGACCTGTGCCATAGCTGGAAAAGCCCTGCAGCTCTTGAGGAGAACCCAGCATTGCTCCAGGAGCCCAGGGGCACCTGTGGAGTAGCGGTTTGTTCCCTAGTATCTCAGCTCTGAGATGGCCACTGTGGCTTAGCAAGGCAGGCCTAGCAAGCCTCATACCAGGAGTCTACCTACTTGGAGGGGATGGAAAGCTATCTGATAAGGGAAGAGCAAATCCAAGTGTCCAATCGGAAACAGAGGGAAATCTGAAGCTCTTGGGCCCAACAGAAAAGCTTTCAGAACCTGAGTTCAGTTGTAACAGGAAGGGGATGGACAGAGTCTATGAACACAAGCTAAGACTGGCATCAGCAGACCCAAACCAAACTTGATGAAAAATAAGCAGTGAAAAGTGCAAGGCACATTCGGCTTCAAGTTCTAGGCATATCACTAGCTATGTGACCTTAGGCAAATTAATCTCCAACTGAGGATTCAATTTATCATCTAAAAAGGAGGGGTCAGATCAGATCATCTTTTTCAAACCTCTTTCCTTTATAAGATTCTCCAATTTGAAATGGAAGGTGTCAGCATATATAGATCATCTAACATGAATTGCTGACTGTGGTGGTAAGATGTCCAGGGTAGAAGAAATAAAGTCCTGTAAAGGCAAATGGTTACACAGGTGGTGAAATAAGATCATGGTAGAAATAAGATCATTTATTTTAGGATGTAAGTTTTAGCTCCAGGGAGCTTTTAAAAGAAAACCATCCTTAAAATTTTGCCTTCTCTACCCAACATCTATCAGATGCATGTAAATATAACTGGCCAGGCCTAGCCCATCCTTGTCTAGTGACCAGCATGGTAAGAACAACCAACCCATCTGGCTGAACAGATGTAATGTTAGTTTGACTAACAACTGAAATTCTAAAATTATGATCTCTGATTTCTAAAATTCCAAACCTTCTTTTCCTATCTAAGGAGAAAAACGATCTAAGAATGATCTAGCCTAAATAATCTACGTTAATTCTAATGGACTACTTATAAAGAGGGGGCTCCATGGACTGTTACAAAGTACAATGGATGAGTTTCCAGGGGCCCATGAACTTCTCTGAAACAAGATTCAGAAATTTTTGAGAGCGTGTATATGGCATTTTTGGGGGGAATGGTTTGTAGGTTCCATCAGATTGTCACATGGCTCACAATTTAAGAGACATTAGGAGTCTATGATCTCTCTGGTACATATAATAAGAATTTAATTCCTTTCATTTGATCCAATCATCAGCACAATGAACATAACCTATCTCAATATTTAAACTTCTGCCAAAGTACATAGAGATTATTGAGACATCTGTTCTCAGATGGACAATTTTCTTAACTCTCTTCAATTATCTACACGAGGATGATTATTTCAGAAAGTCTGAATGACAGAATTTCTAGAAGAGTCCCTAGACAACCAAGATTGGGAGAATCATTTAACCATGGAGAACAACTATGGAGACTGAAGAACTGGGCTAAACTTATCAAGAATGATAACATTCAGTATTTATCAGGCTCTGACTATGGGCCAGACACTGTGCTAACCTCTTCATATATAACCTAACTCTAATCTTTACAATACTCTGGTGACAAAGAAATTATTAGCTGTATTTCACTAAGGAAGAAACTGAGGCTTAGAGAGGTTGAGAAATGTAACCAAGATCCCACAGAGATTCAAATCTTGGTCTCCCTGACCCCAAAGCCTGTGCTATCAGCAGCTGTGCAACCCCATCTCCTGTAGTCCTGTGACGGCGGGGAAATTTCATCCCCTCAAAGAAACAGGGGTTAAGAAGACTGAGGCTGATAGAGAAACATCTTAACTCTGGTGTTTATGGGTTCTGAATAAATGGATCCTGTGATGCAGACTACTTATTATGCTGCATTAAATATGATGTATCTGGGACTCTGGGGAATGAGAAGAGGAAAGGGAAGGAGAAAGAATGGTTTCTGGCTCAATCGAATAGTGGAATACTTGTCTTCCCTAGAAGAGTGTTTCTCAAGCACCCACATACATAATAATTTAGGTTATTCAGTATGCAGATTCCCAGATTCAATTGCCAACAACTCAGATTCAGAATTTTCTGGTATTTGGTCCAGGAATCTTCATTTTTTAATAAGTATTCCAGTTCATTTTAATGGTGGTAGTTACCTTACCCCAGATTTGATAAACAGCTGCTATGAAGGGTTACTTTACAACTGTGTTTTCCCGCAACCTCACTGGGCTGTGATTGTGAAGAAGCCCAGTAGGGTACTTAATAAACATATCCTGGAAATACACAAACTCACACACACACTAAGAAAGACAAGACTTCCTTGGATAAATGCCTGTGGTACCATTATACTTAAGAAAGATGGCAGACTGTAACCTGTCTTTTGAGGGGAGAGCAAAGAATCAGAATAGTTTTTAATTAAGAACAAAAAGTCAAAATTGAATCCCTTCATACTTTTGGAGGGATTAAACAAATCGATGAGTCAATCTTGTTTTCATTAAAGGCTGGAGGACGGGAAACAGACTTTCAGTTTTGCATGAAACATTTGGATAGATCATATCAAAAACATTCTTGACTCAGTGGATTGTGAAATGTTGGAAAGTCTCCAGGTTAGAAAATCTTCAGCATCTAGGTCTACCTAGTTGTGATTAGAGGCTAAACCAGGTAGCCTCTAAGATTTTTTCACTTTAGAATCTTGTCTCCAGATTACTTTACCTACACTCTTCCAATTAGAAGCAATGCTTAATTTCAATGTTTAATTCCAAGTCCCTTATTTTCTATAAACATATCCTTGATTAGCAACCCAATGCAGTTTTTAAAAATGTAATTATTGTGGATGCCGTTGAGAAGCAAGATGCTAATTAACAGAGGAAGGCTGTCAGCAATGAGGCAGTATTGTTAGAGGCTCCTTTTCATTTATGAAATGCAATCACCCAAATGAAAAATAACTGTTAGGAAAATAGGCTTAATCTTCCTAATTGCATAACAATGAAGCCTCTTTGAATATTTTGCAAAGAACAGGTAAAAGAAAGTAAGAAAACAATAAAACCCACAGCTAAATATAAAATAAATGTTCTGCTAAGAAATACAGAAAACAGGAGCTTTGTGTTTGATAACCATCATTATCAAGACTGTGGCTATGCCTCCTTGGTACACGTCCTCATCCCAACCTCCATACACATGCCTGTTCACACTATAATCCACAGGGGAGATTGGTGTGTTGCCCTTTGATCACCTTGATAAGAGGCTTTTACCTAAACCTCCCTTTAAAAGACCGGAAGGAAGCAAGAATTTCCTGAAGTACTTCATAGGGCAGAATTAGTTTCTACATTAAGAAAATAGCCATTTCTGCTCAGCTAGTTAATTATTCCTCATTGTGGGATGGCTAATGTGGAAATAAGATCCATAATGAACTATTTATGATAATGGGCAGACTGGAGGTCTGAATAATAAGGAATTCTGAAGACGGTCAAACCCAACCCTCTCTCTCATCTTATAGATGAGTCCGCTCAGGCCCAGGGAGATGACGTGGCTTGCTTAAGGTCACACAGGTCTTTGGTAGTAGAATATAATTTAATGTGCCTTTTATTAGCCCTTATTCTGACCCCATGATTTAAAATGATTTCTAATTGTCTTCATAAGTTTTATGTTTATATTCTTTCTTCCAACTCCTATTATTTTTAGCTGTAATGTGAAACTGGCTAGACAGTTTTTCAAATATAAATATAAAACCATGGCCTACCCTCAGAGATTCTGATTCCGTAGGTTTAGGGTGAGACTCAAGAATTTTTATTATTGACAAGTGTACCAGGTAATGATGATGCCAGCAGTTCTGAATTCATGAGAATCCCTGAACTGGAGTCCTTCTAAGGCCTCTTTATCAGTCACTCTCTGGGGTTAAGTGTTAGGTTTGTCAGGAGCTCAGCTGAGAGCATACTGAGCTGCCAGGTGTCAGAGGAGCTTTAAAGCAACATACCACAAATGAAAGAATTAAGCACTTCATCACTTACTGGGATGGAATAAGCCAGAGTCTAAAACCAGAGACAACACTGACTCTCCCTGTTCCAGTTGAGGTGCACCAGTTGAGGGTCAGGGAAAGCATAGACATGGGGGTCGTCTCATGGTTGAGGGAGCCCCAACAAAAGGCTCTGGTAGTTTTATGGGCTCCGGGGTAGGGTAGGAGGAAGGGGAAGGCTCAGAGTGGAGAAGTACTGGGAGCTGAGTCAGAGTGGGGAGAAGTAGCTTCAAGGCTTCCCCCTCCTCTCCACATAAAGAGGCCTTGGCAGAGGCGCCTGAACAAGACCTTTGCCCAAGGCCTCAGATAAGACCTAGGAATGAAGGCACAGGGCCTAGGAATGTAAATATGGGAAGAGCTTCCCTGGCAAGCAGGGCCTGAGACCTTGACGGCAACTCCCTTCAGAGATGGCGATGCACAAGCTGTGCACCCGGGCCGGGGTGCCAAGAGCTGCTTCCCCGGGAGGCCCAGCAGAGAGAGCCTTTGTAATGCCTGTGATGAGGACTGGGGTTTTTTTGGTTTGTTTGTTTTTATTGAAGTATAGTCAGTTCCAATGTGTCAATTTCTGGCGTACAGCATAATGTTCTAGTCATATATATATACACATATTCTCGTTTTCATATTCTCTTTCATTAAAAATTATTAAGATAATATAGTTCCCTGTGCTATACAGAAGAAATTTGTTTTTTTCTATTTTTATATACAGTAGTTAATATTTGCATATCTCAAACTCCCAAATTTATTCCTTCCCACCTTCTTCCCTCCTGGTAACCATAAGATTGTTTACTATGTCTGTGAATCTGTTTCTGTTTTGTAGATGAGTTTTGTAGTGTCTTGGGACTGGGTTTTTAACCAGGACCCAGACTCCTCAGTGTTTAGGAATGTACACTGCCTCTTTCTTATCACCAGGGGATTGTTAAACCAGCACATTATGGGCTCTGCGGAGAAAATAACAAATTGAGCTAGATTCCCCTGATGATTGTTTCACAAACCAGTGTTAAGACAGAAACCCTGAAGACTGAATGCTTAGGCATTTATTTACTAAATAATGCCTGATGGGCTTGATACAAACAAAGCTAAGGAAAAGCTTGAGATCCTAAAAGACTCTAATGACTAATAGCAATACGTTTTAAGATTGTATTTAAGGCTAGTTAACACACACATTCGATCATCCAACCAACCAATATTTACTCAGCATATCCCCATGCCTGGCATTATTCTGAGTGCTTGGGATACATCAGAGAACAAGAGTGATTAAAAAGCTCAGCCCTTCTCACAGCTGATTCTAGCAGGAGAGACAGACATTAGTAATACACACAAGAAATGAGTTGCTCATAGAAGGTGATAAATGCTGTAAAAGGGGAAAAGTATAATAGGATAAAAGAGCTTGGGAGTATTTGGGGAGAGCTGAAATTTTCAAATAGATCAGGGAACGACTGAACTTCATTCTAACAGACCCAACAATCCCATGCATCTCTGATTTATCTTGATATTACTGCTTAATTATTTTACCAAAACTTCTGATCATACCATTTCCTTGCTCAGAAATCCTCAACGGTTCCTCTTTGCCCAAAGGATAAAGTGTCCGGTCAATCAAGATCCTCACCACCTGGCTCAGTACCTCTCTCCTCTCTTCCATGCTCCAGGAAACCAGACTATTCCGTGTCATCCTGACTTTCCCCCCTCAGAGGTTTTGCTCCATTGCCTCATACCCTGTCTTCTCTCTCTACTTCTTGACATTTTACCCACCCTTTAAAGTTCAGCTCAAATATTTCCTCCTAGATCTTTCCATCCCCAAATAATTCTTTCTCCTCTGAAGTTCTACAATACATTATGCTACAAATACAGTATTCAACAGGTACATTATAGTTATTAAAAGACTTAGTTTTTTACTGGATTGTAAGCTTCTTAAAGACACGAGTGACCTCCTTAAATATGCCCACACTATTTAGCATAGTGCCTTGTAAGAATGATCTCAAGTAGCTAAGAGCTTCTTGACACTTTGGCTTTATAAAGAAAAGAGACAAAAAGTATTTATGAGTAAGTAGCCAGCCTGTGTCTAAATCTGAGTCTTACTAAGAAAGAAGTCAAGACCTCAACTATGAGTTCATAATGCTGAAAGCACCAAGGCTGTTAATGGACAGCAGAAGACTGGAGGACCCAACGGAAGCACTGTCATTTTTAATTTGTGCTCCTGGTAAATGTAGGTAATTAGAAATCAGGGACCAAGTCCTACATTTCTACAATGCTGAAGACCAAATTTTACTCATAGTAAGATCTTAACCTATGTGATATGAGGAGAAGTTTTAAGGACTGTATTTTAAATTCTGAATGAAAGACATACCAATAGTAATACAAACTAGAATTAAACAAGCGTGTTTACAAAAGGCACTTCATCATCTCTGAAAGATACTTGTTTTTAGTACTTGTTTTTGCAAGGAATCTTCATTTTGCCCTTGAAAGATTCTCTGGGTCCCTTCCTCTCCAGTCCAAACCTCACCTGGCGAGATATGCAGCACTTGGTTGTCTGGACCTCTGAGTATGACCCACTGGCCAATAACCCTGGCTGGAAAAAGAATGGAGCAGGCTTGATGGTGAATAGTCGATTTGGATTCGGGTTGCTAAATGCCAAAGCTCTGGTGGATTTAGCTGATCCCAGAACCTGGAACAGTGTGCCTGAGAAGAAAGAGTGTGTTGTAAAGGACAATGACTTTGAGCCCAGGTAAGTGTCTCCAGGAATTTTAAACAAATGTGTGCTCGTAGCATATTTGACGATGGTTTTTGTCACTCTGCCTAATTTTTCTCACCTACCTGTCTGAAGTAGATGGAGATGGCATTTGCCATTGCTCCTTGTATGTCTATGGGGGAATCACAGAGATCAAAGATCTGTAAATCATGTTAGCATAGTTGTAGTTTCCTTTTGTAGCCTGCCTACCACATAGCAGTAAGTTAAGGTGCACCACTGTTTTACATACTACTAAGTAAAATCATTGCCAATTAAACTATTATCAATCATTGGTTTTAAGATTCACCCCAAATTCAAAGATGTTAAAATCTTTAAAAAAAATGCATCTTAGAATTGATGAAAGGCAGTACTTGCCAACCCGTATTACCCAGAACCTACTTACAAAAGAACCTCACTTCATGCCACTGTGCTATGTGATTTGTGACTTTAACTCCATGAAGGATCTTTTATCATATAGCTTTTACATCGACTATAGCTGGCCCACTGTATCTGACTACAGAAGCTGAATCTGGTATGAGATATACACATATATACATACACACACACACATATATGTATATACACACCTCATTATCTTCTTTATCCATTTATCTGTTGATGGACACAAGTTTCTTCCATATCTTAGCAACTACAAATAATGCTGCTATGAATACTGGGGTGCCTGTATTTTTTCAAATTAGTGTTTTTGTTTTTATCAATACCATATTATTTTGATTGCCATAGCATTGTACAGCATTTTGAAATTAGGAGATGTGATGCCTCCAGTTGTGATCTTCTTTCTCAGGACTGATGTAGCTATTTGTAGTCCTTTGTGGTTCCATATAAACTGTAAAAATTTTTTCAAATTTCTTCTATTTCTGTAAAAACATTATCATTTTCTTATGCATTGAAATTAACTTACAACTAATGCTGAATTGGGATCTACTTGTAACAGGAAGACACAACAAACCTTGCTAAGTATCTACTCAAGAGTGTTGTGTACATATTCCCATAAAATTCAAGGAAGAAAAGATACACTTTGTTCAGTGATGATTATTCAATGTATTTAGAGCCCTGAAAGCTAACGGAGAAGTTATCATTGAAATTCCAACAAGAGCTTGTGAAGGACAAGAAAATGCTATCAAGTCACTGGAACATGTGCAATTTGAAGCAACAATTGAATATTCCCGCAGAGGAGACCTTCATGTCACCCTCATTTCTGCTGCTGGTAAATTATTAAAAAAAAAATTCAAGAATTTCTTCTAAACTATGTTTAAAATTTTAAGTGTAAATTAAATGATTTCAAATCAATGATTGATTTTTGCTTATATATAGCCCTAAGTCTTCCAATGGAAGTTTTCACATCTTAAGATGTATGCTTATTTGTCTTTTTTTTTGACATCAGATTTCTGCCCTGCTCACTCCAACTGACCATTAGATCAGCACAGAATGATGTCTATCCAAATAATAACAATTAATAAACCCTTCTAGAGTTATGCATTTTTAAGCTGTGTTCATTTTCCTGGGTCACTGATCTACCATTCATTTCTTTCAGATAACAAGTTAGTGAAAGTTACTCTAATAATTAATTAAGTTGACAGATATATCAGACACATCCAAGGAATCAATTGAAAAACTGAGAATTCTGATCCATGAGAGTTGAGAACATTTCCACAATGATATGATTAAAGCCATATATGATACGATATATTGACATTTGCCCTTTCTTGAGAGGATACTAAGTCAGATAAGACCATGGATGGGAAAGAGCTTATGAAACATAAACCACAGTCCCACCAAGAGAAGCTATCCTAATCCTTTTTCATGTTTTAGAAGGATTCAGGTGACTAAATTCAATTCCTATAGGTGATACATGAGAAGAGATGAGCTATCTCTATAATGTCCTTCCAGGATATGAACTTCCTAGAGGTTTGGAGTAGGCTCCATTAGTTTTGGAACTATGCTTTCTTGATATCTTGGAATTGGCCTGAAGCATTGGTGGAACGGCCCTTTAGTTCATTTGATACTTCCTCTTAGAAAGAAGTATAATTTATTGACCTATAGAGAGCTTGGATTTGAAAATTTAGAGTTACTCTAACTAGCAGTTTTTATATGACAAATGAATACTAAATTAATATGGTTTTATTTTATTATGCCTAAGCTGGATTATAGACTCAGGCACCTATTAAATTTTCAAAATTTCTTCTTAAAATTTCAAAATGATAGTTCCATTAAAATGTTTGTTAGGCCTTTGTCTTTTCTAATATAGTTCATGAACATATATTCTTTAATGTAGTTCATAAACAATTCTCTGAGTTCTTATTCAAACAAACATTAATCAATATATTCATCGATTATGTATTTTTCTACAATATTTACTGAGAACTTATTATATGCCAGACAGTGTTCTAAGTACTGTGAATAAAAATGTTTTTTTTTCTTGGGAATATCTCCATGTTGCTGTTATACTCAAAGGGAAAATTAAGAGGGCTAATCTCTCCCAGCATTCATTTTCAGTTATTAGATGCTAGAGTGCGTCCTACTATCAGAGCTGTGAGGACATTAACTAACTTGTGTTTGTTGCATGAAAATAGGAACCAGCACTGTACTGTTGGCTGAGAGAGAGCGGGATACATCTTCTAATGGCTTTAAGAATTGGGACTTCATGTCTGTTCACACGTGGGGAGAGAATCCCATAGGCACTTGGACTTTGCGAATTACAGACATGGTAAGTATGAATGAAAGGCTACCGGAACACAAGCTCACTTTTAAACACTTTGAAGCACTTTCACACTTGGTGTCTTCATTAAGGGCCCAAAAGGAACTTTGATCACTCCTTATAGAGGTAAGGAGAAGAGTTAGTGTTTCAATCTTTGCCCATTTGGCTATAGAGATAATAATTTTTTTTTAATTAGGCACCACCCATATAAGAAGGAAGAAAAGATATTCTGATACCCAATGTGATGGACCATGGGACAAATCCCAGTGTCCCCAGGTCAGAGCACAGTGAGCCACACCTATTCAGCCACCACAATCAGCTTTATTCACAAACATGGTTAAACGCTACACCACCTTTGCTATCACACTCTGCTGGGGTCATATGAAGGAACTCTTACAAATATTTACCACAGTGGCTATTTAGAAGTAGCTTACTTGTTAGACAAGAGAGCTTATTTCATATGACTTTTTTGTTTTGTTTCAGTTATGAAACAAAAGCATTTCTCAACTCTCTGTTTGCTAACACTCTCATATTTTTGTACAATTGTAACACAGTCTCAACAATAAAGCAAGACGTGTCTGATTAAAAAGCCAAATACAGTTGAATTCTTTATTTTTGTATCAATTCTCCAGCATTTTCTACAGGTTAAGCATATAAATGAATGGTGTTTTGGATCCAAGCTCTCTCAAGATAACAGTGTTTGAAGTATCTAAGTGGCATCAGATTTAACATCTAGATAACTTTAAAAAAATAAATGATTTTAAATTCCTGAAGCTGTCAATTAAAACAATATGAATTTTATAGTCATTGTCACTTTTTTTCCTCTGAGAATAGCTTTCATCTAAAGATTGCTAAAATTTTGACTTAGCAATGGAAGTTGTAAAAATTCTTGCTCTCATAGGGAGAACAAGAAAATGTTCTCAATTTGTGGTTCTGCTCCTGAACTTGGCCTTTATTCTTTAACTCATTTTCACCATAAGGAAACTAAGAAAATCTATTTACCGAGATAGGACTGTTTTATATCATGTCTGCAAACTCTGACTCTATAGTTTTAGATTTTTTTTTTTTAGAATTTTAGACTTCAGCGTATTATTTTTAACATAATTGTTGAATCTGTGAAAATTATTACTCTTATCATAAATACAGTTTTTAAGGATTGCTTAATGCTGAAGGCTATTTATAATACTCCAGACTTTTCTTTTCCCAATGGAATGTTTCTACAAGTTGATAATTGGTCAATATAATTCTCTTTATAGGAGGTACAGTCAACTTTTTAAGAACACATCCAGTACAGAAAAAAGTTCATGTAGAGAGTTCTCCTTTTTTTTTTTAACTAAATGAAGCAATGAGTTAATTTTTAAATCCTTGAACCTGTCAATTGTCAATTTTCATAACAAGAGTGAGGCCAGTGATTTATGTCTTTGTACACAGAGTTCTACATATGAAGTGCACAGAATCTTAAAATTAGATTTTAACTACAAAATCTCTTTTACATGTTTTGAAGGTGTTTGTTTTATATTATGCAGAACACATACTGAAATTACGTATGCTTATTCATTAGTCTGGAAGAATGCAAAATGAAGGAAGAATCGTGAACTGGAAGTTGATTCTGCATGGGACCTCTTCTCAGCCAGAACACATGAAACAGCCTCGGGTGTACACATCCTACAACACTGTTCAGAACGACCGAAGAGGGGTGGAGAAGGTGGTGGATTCAGGGGAGGTCTGTGTGGCTCTGTTCTTCCTGGCACGTTCTTTTTTAAACTGCAGGGGACACTATAGTGGGTAAAGCTGCCTCTAACTTTTAGGCAGGAAATGAGTCAACTATGGGTTGGGAGGAAAGGGAGTCAGAGGATTCAACTGTTCATTTTCTGTAGGAAAGTGTTTTATTCATTTTGCCCTTCTATCCAAAATTTAGAAACTAAAATGAATGAATTCAAAATTATTAAACTAACATAAATTTTCTCCACTTACAACACTATCAAATTTTAAAGAGAACTGTCTTTTTCTTTGATCACACACACCTAAAATTTGTGTTGCACTTAGTTTTTAAGCCGGTTTTACATTGTCTCATTTAACTAATAATCCTTGTAACCTAGAAAGGAGAGACCTTAGTATGTCCATTTTGCAGAAAGAGGGTCAAGGCTCAAATGACCAAATCACGCAGGTTCCTCTTTACTAATTCCTTAACTGACACTTCTTGGTAACTCCAAGGGGAGCTATAAAATCATAGTTTCTCTTCAGAAAATTGCAGAGGATAGCTAAAGTTAGTCAGTTACGTTCCAGGGCCTCAGCCTACTGACGCTGCTGGCTTCTCTCTTATCAGATGGTGGGTGGAAAACACATTTTCTTTATCTTTGTATCCCTCCTGCTTCTAGCACAGTGCCTCAGATGTAGTAGGTAGGTTATCAGAATTTCCAGAATGACCTTCCTCAAATAGGGCTGGCTTTTTAAAGGGGTTTCGGAAAGTAACAGAGACATTATTCAAGAAACTTATAAACTAGCTCATATTCGGGCCCCATTTATAGTCTATGAAACACCTCTCCCCTGGGACCCCAGCCTGGAGGCCTCCTGTCACAGTCCTGGAGGCAGGTCTATCTTGTGAGCACTTCCAGGCATCATCTCATTCCATCTTCAAAAACCACCAGAAATGGAGGGATTCTTATTGCTATTTCACAGGTGAAGCTTGGGGAGATTAAAAAGATGCCAAGGATACATCAGTCAATGAGGAAATGAGGACTGAAACCTGAGACAGTGTGACTCCCAGCCTTGTGCTCTCTCTGCCCCACAAACTGCCTTTCGAGGGCCAGGCAGTGGGTGGGCACTGCAGCTGGCTCACCTGGTCTGAAATAACAAGCCTTCTCCCCTTTGTCGGTGGCTTTCTGTTTCAGGAGCAGCCCACACAAGAGAACCTGGATGAGAACCCTCTGACATCCAAAAGCCCCAGCAGTGGCAATGTGGGGGGCAGAAGGGCTGAACTGGCAGAGGCACCCCCTTCCGAGGCCATGCTGCGACTCCTACAAAGCGCTTTCAGCAAAAACTTCCCCCCAAAGCAATCACCAAAGAAGTCTCCAAGTGCGAAGCTCAACATCCCTTATGAAAGTTTCTACGAAGCCCTGGAAAAGCTGAACAAGCCTTCCCAGCTTAAAGACTCTGAGGACAGTCTGTATAACGACTATGTCGATGTTTTCTATAACACGAAACCTTACAAGCACAGGGACGACCGGCTGCTGCAAGCTCTGGTGGACATTCTGCGGGAGGACAGTTAAAACGAGTGTGTGGTCCTAAGTTGGAAATATTCACGCTTCTTCCTTCCCCTTAGATTCTGCCTGTGTCTGAAGTGGTTGTTTTGTCACCGATTCTTATGTCTATAATATCTTTCATGGTACTTTTTCTTTTTCTCCCCAAAATGGATATTAGAAAGCTATGAGCTCAAGGAGTAAATCCAACTTCCTGAATTGATTATAGCTCCCAAAACATGTCTTCCCTGCCTGCACAAGTCAAATGTTTTGTTCTTTCTGGAACCAGAGTTCACATGTGGTCCTCGAGAATGACTCCTTGGACCCTCTCATTTCATTTCTCAAAAGAAAAGGAATAACCTGGGCAGTGGATTAATTTGAAAAAGTAATCTGCAAAAAAATGAGAGGAAGGAAGACTGTTCTCATAGCTTATCCCCGTCTTTGCCATGTGGTTCTTCAAATTTTGATGCCAAAGAAGGGTTTGGAAAGTCTCTATGAAAGAGTTCACAAGCAGACTCATGCCCTGGGCTTTTCTATGCCCAAGTACTGCTCATTTAGGAAGTGGCCACTAGGTAGGTTATTTTGCAGAGAGGCTGGGTTATTTAGATCCTGAAACAGGCCTCAATGCCTGCATTATCTGGTTTGAGCAGTTTTAGAACATTCTTCTGCACTTAGTGTGCCATGGACGGGCCTCCATGGACCTCAAGGTGACTGTGACTTGTGCTGTGACCTATGCTGTGACCTCTGGCCTTCCTCTCCCCCCAGTACCTTCTCCTTTCTCAGCCACAAATCAAATACTGAGGGAGCTATTTATACCACTTTCCTAGAACAAACATACACTTGGGACTTGGCAAATTCCTAGTCATAATTTTTTTAATGGTTATAATATGAAGCCACTTATAAGATGGAGAACCAGTGTAATCAAAGGAAAATATTCATAGTAGGGAGAGCCAATGTAGGGTTTTCTTGTGTTTTTACCTATATTCATCAGAACAGGTTTTTCTGGATTTTTGAAACGGAGTGTTCATTCCTTGGCACTAAAGGCCCTTCTCCAATCTTACAGATGATAGTGTCCAAATTCTCACCAAATTGCTTGTAAGCTTCAACTCAGAGGACAGAAGCTGGCTACCCATAGGCAGCATGTGTCCCTCAGGTAGATTTTGTTCAGCATCTTAAATATTTTAAAAGTGTGAGTAATTATTGAAAATATCATAGTTCACTTAAAACCTGATTCTTAGAACCATCTTCACTCATGGCAACAGCTGGCTGGAGGTGAGTAGTAGCTGCCCAAATATACCTGAACACCATGTCCCTGTGGTAGCCTGTTCCGTGCTGCTTACAGTGGCCACCTTAGGGGTCAGCATTCTAGGCATTTGATTTTCCCCACTCCTGCACTAAAAGAACACGTACAAAGTGTTAAGCGCATTAGGAAAAACATATCCCTGGCTTCTTTCAGGCTTCTTTCAGGATCTCTACAATAATCAAAAGTTACAAGAATTTTTCATGACCAAATTAATTTACAGGAAAAAAATGGTATTTCAGATCTCTGAAAATACCTCTGAAATCTTGTTTGACTTACGTGTTTAATCAATGTTCATTTATACTAGTTCATTAATTGCCAACCCCCTAGCTCCCCACTCTATATGCTCACAAAGGTTTCCATCACCTGCAGTCCTGGCATTCTCCCACAGAATTTGCTGTCCGCAATTCTTCCACAAAGTTTGAACTTCAAGAGGCCACACATTGACAAGACCAGGAAAAAGACTACACTGAACTACATCAGGAAGAGAACACGAGGGTCTGTTACTCGCTCTAGTTTAAAGTGTATTTGGTAAGACAAATTTTCACCCCCTAGCCTACCATTTGAATTTGTGCAGAATGAGGGCATTTCCAGAACAATACCCATGATGCTTTGAGGATGTTTCCCCCAAAGAACTGCAGTATCACTGCGTCCTTGGAAATATCACATATTGTTTGATACACAGTGTTGGACAGAATTTTGAAATTTGCAGCACATCATAAAGTAGTAAATAGAGCTGAAAAGGACCAGAGAGTTACAAAAAATTTCAACTTAAAAAGAGCTAAGGTCCAGCGAGCCCAATAAAAATTAATAAATGAAAATTTAGCCTTTCCTCATTCTTAATCTAGTACAAATTGTATGATGCTTTCTTTTTCATTTTTCTAACAGTATCTTTTCCTGGTTAAAACCCCAACCAGCTCATTGGATTGTAGCCAAAGGTTCACTCTAGAGAAGCTTTAAATAAAGTCATGTTTGAATGTTTCCAACCTGGAATATATTGTTCAGACATAAAATATTTTTGTCAGCCTTTCTTAGTGCTTGTGTGGATTTTTGTGAAAATGTAAAAGAAGAAACTTATATGGTATTTCCCTTGGAATTTTAAACTATATTTTCTTTACAGGTATTTATAATGCTTTTATCAAGCAGAATTTTAAAAGGCATAATAAATTATATTAAAAACCAAAATTTTCCTGAGAATAAGAAAGTTTCATCCAATAAAATATTTTTGAAAGGCATGTTCCTCTGCCAGTTAAAAAAAAAAGTATAATATGTATGTGTTGTGATGTGAAAAGTGGTATTTGTCTAATAGCCTATTACAATGTGTATACAGCTAAGTTTAACATGTGTGGTCTTAGCATTTTTAAGGGAACACACACATTATACACTTGATGTATTGATCAGAATATGTAAAATATGCTTATAAATCAAAAGAATAAATGGTTTCTAAGTCAAAAAAAAAAGCTCATGTGTCCAACAAAAACACAATCTCCTCTTACTTATTGTATTTACCAAATGAACTGTAAAGAAAGAAAAGTTGAAGGTTTACATTAGGAAATTAAATGGGCTTTCCTAAAGGTAATTTAAGAATCTAATTAAACAGGTATAATTCATTTTCCTTTATAGCCCAATCTTTCACTGTTTTTGACAACATACAAACTGTATGACTGAGCCTTACCTGAAGTGTTAAGGAAAACAAACAGACAAACACAAACTACAGGGACTTACTACAGGTGAGAAGTCATTTGCAATAGTTCACTAATCATGACCTTGTTATATTATAGGCCAGATTTCAGCAGCTAAGCATTAAATCCTTCCCAGAGGGTCCCTCATCAGAAGCCCTCAATTCCTAACCCTGATCCCCTGTTCTCAGGCCTAATTTTCTCTCCTGCTTCAAACCCCCATCCCTCAAATTTCCACCCACCATTTCAGAATCGGATGTCCTTCTACCCAAGAGGGCTGGTTTCCCCCCAGACTCCATTCCCTCCTCCCAAGTCATAAATATTCAGTCAAACTAAAGTGATTTTTCAAGAATTACAGAAGGATTGTTCAACTAGCTTTTGTCCTCCACTTCCAGCCATCTTCAAAGTCTTCCCACTGGAAGGGTTGAAGATATGTCTTTCTTTTCTTTTGAATGACCATTTGATAACTATTGGATTAACCATGTGCAGGCTGTGAGAAAATACAAATATACACAAGGATAGACATTAATTCTTAAATATAAATTTAAACTCATAGGAAGAAGAGTAGTGTTTCCTTAACTGCCTCTTAATTTTGGAAGGCTATAGCACTAGTACACACGATGATGACAATGATTCACTCCACTCTCTCTGCCCCAGTGACAGAGTGTACTTTCCTGACTGTGTGATTTGCTTTGGTCAAGGAAATACTAAGGGACATGATGCAATCAAGGGCCATAAATATGCTTGCACAGTTTGGTTTGGCTCTTGCTTTTCAGTGATCAGTGCTGTGAGGAGTATGCTCCATGGAGCTACTGAGCCTTCAGCCTGTTTCCAGAACAAATGTATATGGAACAGATTCAAATTCTGGAACCAAACCCAGCCAACTCACAGCAGGAAACAGAGCTGTCCAGATGAGTGCAGACTAAATAAGCTGAACTTGTCACCTTGTCACCTTGGCAAGTTGAATTGAGAATAAATGCTGGTATAAGCAACTGAGTGTTGGGGTAGTTGGTGACACAGCCTCCATATGTCAACAAAACTGAAAAATACAGTAAAAATTCCATTTGTTCACTCCCCTACCAATACCATCCCTTTCCAATCATGCCTTCTTGAGCCTAAAGTACAAAAAGAAGAGCCAATATTAAAATACACACTTCTTGGTGCTGATCTCACAGATAAATAAAGATCCTGCCCAAACTTTGAAATTTTCATTTTTAAAGGTCTGTCTAAGCTAGCTTAGTTCCTCTTGGAAGCAGAGCCTCAGATAATGAGTGACTGTGTATAGGTAGCTATTTAGGAGGTAATAGCAGAGAGCAAAACTACTAACACATACCCACAAGTAGCATCAGGTAACACTGATCAGCACAAGACTTCCCAAAGACTAGAATGGATGTTTCCGCTGATAATGGCATTGACAGAAGGTAACTCGAAGTAGACACCTATGCTCCCCTCCCTTCCTGATCCATACCCCATCCAATGCTTTCATAGTCTACTAGCTTCTCTCAGAAGCTCGATGCAACCCCAGGGTTAAGGGAAGAAAACTTGACTGGCTGAGATCAAGCTCACATCCTTTATCAGAAAGGCAACTTTTAAGAGAAACAAAGTTCTGTTACACAAAATGAAATAACTTTTGCTATGTTGGGTTTTAACTTGCAATTTGTATAATTTGTATTGTCTGTATATTGCTACATATAGATATTATGTAAGCATTACTCTATCATCAATGCATAGACAGAGAGATGACTACAGTCATTATGTGCCCAACATTCTCAAGTCATGTGCAAGGCTCACTTTCATGGTTTATATACTGAGCTTCTAACATATGTCCTAATCCAATTTGCCTGGAACTTCACAATTTCATTCTCATCCACGCGCACATACCCTCCACCTCTAGAGAAGCCCATATTGTAGGTATCTGCATTGAATACTTTCCTAGGGAAGGGAGGGGCCACAAGCTCAAAAAAGGTTTCTTGTTCACAGAAGAAGGTAGGGGGAAATATTCTCAGGCATGGTCCTATATGATTGTCATGTCTCCTTCCACTGTCAGTTCCTTTATTCCTGTCCCTAGCAGCCCCAGTAGTAGCTGATTTATAAATCTAGATGACGTTTTGATGTGAGGAGAGTAGCTTTTACACCTGGTTCTGCCTTAAATGCTTCACAATTATTTTTTACATCATCGTTGTCAAAGGGCAGAAAAAAGTCTGAAAATGTAAAAGCAACATAAAGTGGCTCTTGGGTCAGCTGTAAGTGAATTTGAATTCTGGCTCTTCCATATCCTAGCTGTGTGCTTCTGAGTAGATTATTTCACCTCTCTGGGTCTATTTCATCATCCATGACAATGAAGTCTAGCTTATAGGTTTGCTGTTAGGATTAAATGAGATAATGAAGATAAACAACTTAGTATGGTCCCTGTACCTAACAACTGTTCAATAAATGTTAGTTTTTATTAGTGATACTGTTGCTTTTATTATTACTGTGGTGCTGTGAAAAGAAAACGGAATTTAAAGCCAAATAGATTTGAATTTGCAGCTCTTATCTACAAATTCAATGAAGGAAAAGGTATCAGAATCATTGAAGAAGATGGAAATATTCTAAGTTGTCACTGGCCAAAATGATGTTGCCTTGGGAACTGTCATTCCAACGTGAATATTCTTCTCCTAAAGCCACACTGGAAACCATTTAATTGAAGCCAATGAAGACTGGACTGCAATGAGAAGGGAGTGTCAAAAGTGACAGCTGAGACTCCAGGAACAGTCACCCAAGGCCAAGGAAAGCCAGAGGTGACAAGTGAAGAAAAATGAGACGATGAAAAAAAGAAATCATTGAATTTTACATCTACTCACTCAATTTTGTGTGCGCATGCATGCAATGAGCTGGAGTACTCGTTTCCAAATGTAAACATTTCTTAAAGCATTGAGAAATGTTGATATTAACAATGAAAAACAATGGGTCCTTAACAATATTTGCAGCACAGAGCATTCTTTGAATTCTCATGAGAACTGTGAGGGAAAAAAGGAGATAATAATATGAGTGTCCTTATTTTGTAGATTAGAAAATTGAGGCAGAGAGAGGTAATGTGGTTTGTTCAAGGTCACATAGGTAACAAGTAGTAGGGTTGAGATTTTAACCTGACAGCAGTTCCAGACCTTAGGCTATGCCTTGAATTAGCAAGGCAAAAAGGTGACATAACATTCTAGAAAATATGCATAGTATGGGACTCAAATAGGTACTGATACTATCAGTCCTTTTCTGCTATTGGAATTAATAGAAAGAGCTTTTATTAAGTGAACATTTGCTACATGTTAAGCACATAGGTTTCGTATTTTCACAATGATGAGACAGTAATTCATGAGACTAAATCTATTATTTCTAATGATTACATTATGCTGCAAAGGAAGTGTTTTTACAGATATGGAGAATGGGGTTCAGAGAGGTTGAGTCACTTGCCCAAGTTCATACAGCCAGTGGGTAGACCAATTTTAAAATTTTTAAATTTAAAAACTGGCCTACTGACCCCATCTTCCACTGTGCTGCCCTTTTCAGTTGTACTTCTAAATTTTTCAAACTGATGCCTTAAGAGGCAATCTTACGCTTTCAGGAACAACTAGATTTTATACTGCTTCTTTACTTCAATTTAGGAAACGTCAATAAATTTCAAAATGAGAGAGGCAGTTGTCCTTGTCACTGATCACTCCTTGACCTACCTTGAAATGAACCAAAGCTCTTCTCTGAGAGGAGCAACAGGCCAGCCCAACAGCTCAGGCATTCTTTGTATCAAGAATCAACTGCATATGAATTTACATGCAGACCAGTCCAAGGGCTGCCAATCCTACTGAGAACGAGAATGTACTAGTCCAGGCATGAACTCTGGGAGTTTTCTACTATGTTGGGCCATTTTATTCCCCTCTCCATTCCCTGGCCTTTGTCTTGATGCACCTCCTCCTACCCCTACTCAAGTGTATTCTTCAGTATATTAATCAGTGGTGTGTGTGTGTGTTCAAAAAGAATTTCCTGGTCATGTACAGTTGTGAAACAGTAAATGAAATACTGAATTTTTTGTATTTCTTTTTTGTGGGAGGTCTCAGAAGTCCTCTTAATACAGTGGTGTGCATTGTAACTCTTTAAGAGGGAGCTGCATTTCTTTGGACAGAATCCGTATTTCTTGGACAATCTTCCAGGACCAGTGTTCTCTCAGCTCACTTGGGGAGACACGATCTTCCAGCAAACCATCTCCAGTTAATACTCTCCCAGCGTGATTCTGGGTTCTATCAGAAGGAAGGCTTACAAGCACCACAAGCCTGATTATTTCTGAGAGCTTATGCCTCCTCCTTGCCTCAGTACAAAACGCTGCAGCACCAGTCAGCTGACAGAAAACAGGTGCCAACTGTTGTCAACAAGGAACTGAGTCAGATCCCACCCACAGTGATCCCTGGAGAGGGCTGGAGCTCATCGTCATGAGGGGAGAAAACATGGGAAAAAAGAGGAACCCACCCAGTCACTTATGTCCAAAATAGAGAGAGTGGTCACTGGCTGAATTTGTAGAGTACAGCTCAGTTTATCTGTTGTCCAAG